GTTTTAAATTTTTACTTTCAAATTTGCGATTTGATAACCCAGATGATAGGGAAAAACGAAAGAAATCTGATCCGGCAGCACTTATTTCTGAAGTGATGAATTTATTCATTTATAACTCCCAGAAAGCGTACACATTAGGCACTTGCGTCTGCATTGATGAAATGCTTGTTGGATTCAGAGGAGTGTCGCTTTAAAATGTATATGCCCCAAAAGCCTGTGAAATATGGATTAAAAGTTATGTGTTTGACTGATGCCCGGAATAATTATGCTTACAATGCATATCTTTATTGTGGAAAAGACTCTGATGGAATTAGCGTAGAAGAGAGTTGGAAAAAATTCAGCAAACCAAGTCAAGCTGTTCTGCGTTTGAGCAAACCAATTTTTAATACGAACAGGAATGTAACAGCAGACAATTGGTTTTCTTCCATAGAACTTACCACAGAATTGTTGAAAAATGGACTGACATACGTTGGAACTGTTAAAAAAAATAAAAAAGAAATTCCGAAAGATTTTCTTCCATGTAAGTCAAGAAAAGAGAATTCAACATTGTATGGATTTACTAAGGACATAACCTTGATTTCATTTGTTCCAAAGAAAAGGCAAGCAGTGGTTTTGATGTCATCATTGCATCATTCGATAGAAACAGACTCGGAAACACAGAAACCTGAAATAATTGCTTTTTATAACAGAACCAAAGGTGGTGTTGATGCTTTAGATGAAAAATGTTCTGTCCATTCCTGTAGTAGGTGAACAACGCGTCGGCCTATGGCTCTTTTCTACCGGTTAGTAGATATGAGTATAGTAAACGCATACATTTTGCACCAAGGTTATAACCAAAACCCTGTTATGACCAGAATGGTGTTTTTGAAAGAATTAGCGAGAGAATTAGTCCAACCACTACTACACACGAGAGTGAAAAATCCAAGAATAAATCGAGAATTGTGCCTGACGATGAAGCGGATTTTAGGAAAAGAAGCTGAGTCTAAGGATGTGGAGCAGTGCACAAAAGAAGCAAAATTAAAATCAAGGAAAACATGTCGTCTGTGCCCCCCAAGCAAGAAAAGAAAGACAGCATATTTATGTTTATCTTGCCAAGACCCTGTTTGTTTGGAATGCACGCAAAAGTTATGCAATGAATGTGCTAAAGAAGACGAAAAGTAAATTGTTTACTATCAGAAAATCGGTGAAATACTGATATTTCAGGTACTGTCAAAATTTTTCTGTATTGTGCTACATACAATTTTCTCCGGTTAAAATTTGCTTTAAATATTAAATAATATAGATAAAATAGTTAATTCAAAATAGATGCATTCTTATTTTTAGTTTTATAGAATTTAGTGCAGCATATGATTTTCACTGAAAAATTTAAGGCTATGGGAAATTTTCTGGGAAAAATTTAATTTCACTTTAAAGTGTAAAAACATATTTTCTTTTCAGAGTAAAATGTTCAAAGAACATTTAAGAGAAATATCATGATGATAATTTAATTAGACGATTTTTAAAAATTTATTATATTGCGCGGTCTCTGAGACCGCACGTCCCTTGTTATGTTCAACTTTTTCACCTCCCCTGTTACGAGTTAATAAAATTTTGCGTAACTTCCTTTCTTCAGAATTCTGTTTAAGAAAAAAAGTTTCTTTCCAAATTTTACATAAGGTTCTGTTCTTACGAACAAAGTCTGTAAAGTATATTTTATGTTAATTGGCATGATTTGGCAGTGTACTGTCTCTTCTTCTTTTGATAGCTCTGACTAGGATGTAAAAAGATTCTATAAGTATCTTTCAGATCAGAGCTCTTGAAAGTTTAGACAGTTACTATTCCGACGGGGTAACTTGCAACAAAACTTGTGACAGGCTTTTACAATCCTTGGTCAGTGACGCCAGTATCGTTCTGCAAAAGTTGTAAAATATATCAAGAACTCTTGAATTAACGATCTCACACAAAGCATTCAGGAAAAGTCTAGCTTCATAGCCGCTGTAAAACAAATCATTGGAGGATGGATATGGTGTGGTGTGGTGTATTTAATTATGGCAAAGCACACTAGGGCTATCTGCCTAAGAGGAGGGATGCCTTTCGTGGAGGACTTTCTAAGGGAAACTGGCTCGTATACACGTTACACATGGGGAAAACCACGAAAACACCCATGCAGCCAGCCCGTTCGCGGGATTCGAACCTCGGACCGAACTACCAGTGTTCAGCGACTTTACCGCTCGGCCGCTGGTGGGCGCTGGAGGATGGATAATACGCCAAACTGTACCTTATCTATACTGAAGAGTGCCTGACATTCGTTGATTTTCCTGAATGGCGTGACTTTTCATCTCGCGTCGCTTTCCATCTGGTTAAATCACTTTCAACCCAAGAGACCCTTTCTCGACCGATCTTGGGGTTTCACCTGCTATCTCGTCTAAGTGACGTGTCCTTAGAGGTTTAATTTTCTTATCTAACTTATTAAGGTGCGCTTTGGAGCCATATAAGGAACTTCATAATCCATATTAGTGTAGTTTAGACAGTTTTCAGATTCTGCCTAGGAGTATAATTAAAGAATATCCATAATTCGTGGGCCCATCAAGGGATAATTTTCTGCGATAACTGCTAAGAGCTGCACATTACATTGCAACTGAATGTCAGTTAACAAACTAGAATCCGAGTTTAAATAGACAATTTAGTGCAGTGACGCTCGCCACATTGCGATTCTCTTGCCCAGCTCTAGGCTTGGTAGGCTGTTTGCATTTGTAGTCTCTATCAACTATTTAAATTTAGATTTTAACTTCTGTTTACTAATGACGGCGATTTAATTTGTAAGCGCAAGTTGTGCAATTATTCCTTTAGAGCTTTTCGTTGTCGTTAAAATTAAATTGGAACAAAAGAAGGTTTAAACAAAATTGTATAAACTTTCTTCTATCCTATTAGTAAATTTCACATCTTGGCTGTTTGAGAGCATTTAGTTATTTACAGAAAATAGCCCTACAAGTCGAAACTGAAAGAAAATTACTACATCGCAAGGAAAAGGGGAATACAGCCTCAGACATACACAGGGTGGGGTATATTGCATATACTAATTTGAGTTGACATCCTGCAGGAATTCACATGCGCATGTATGGCATACCTGCATTCGTAGAAAGCTAGGGGAGTATCCACGAGTTCGACTTGTTTCTGGTTCATAATCCATAGTTGTTCCAGTTGTTTCGGGGCTACCTGGCCGATATACTAACTACCCCAGTGGACCGGCTGCCTCGCTGTCGGTGGAAAGAAAGTTGTTTCTAATAGGATTTGCTGTTTCATATGACATTTAAAACTACAAGGTCTTAAAAAATTCGATTCTTTCAAACTTAGGACCTGAAATCCAAAAACTAATGATTGGATTCGGTGGTCATGTTGCCACAAAAAGAGGTAAATAATCTATACAAAAGACAGATAGTCGCTGTGCAACGAAGTCATTTCCGTGATGATATTTTTAAGAACTTGGAAGAGAATAAAATCCTGATTAGCGAACAGAAAACAGCTATACAGGCTCCCCCACTTTATTTGTAATAAATGTAACATGAACATAACAATCCAGTTTGAAGTACTCAGGATATTTCGATAACTAGCTTTTCCACAACGCCGCCTGTAACTAAAGTTTAAAGGCCTATTCATAAAAGTTTAAAAACATGACTGCGGGAAATGACAATAAGAATATTGCTCGTAAAAGGAGAATTTCATTTCATTTGTAAGTAATCTCATCATTTTATTACAAAATGTTTTCAGATACATGAGAGGAAGTAAAAGTCAATAAAACATAATACTATGACGAAACTATTGGGTTGGCAAGAAAGTAATTTCGGTTTGCATAAATAGGTAGCGTTACGTTCATTTTTTTTATTCTGCTGCCAAGCTTATGATTTTTTTTTCTTTTAGGATTTGGGAACTGACACTTTTAGGTTGCTATAGAAATAAGTTCCGTGTACTTTTATTTGCAACTGATATTTTACTGTCAGATTTAACATGGGATGTAAAAATAAACATTTTTGAAATATTTAATTTTTTAAATTTTCATAAAGGCAAGAAAGCGGCTGAGGCTCCCAAAGCGATATGAAAAATTTATGGCGTGTTGATTCCTTAATAGAAATCATGTGTCAGAATTGGTTTAAAAATTTTCATTCTGAAGATTTTTCCTTTGAAGATGACAGGTTGACCACTCTGGCTGACTTTCTAGTGTTGATGATGACAAAATAAAGGCCATAATGGAATCGAATCGCCATACAATTGTGGGAGCGATTGAAAAATGTATCACACAACAACTGAAAATCACATAAGATATCTTGGACTCGTTAAGAAGCTCGATATATGGTTTCCCCATGAATTGAAAGAAATTCACTTAATATAATGACTCAATATTTGCAATACGCATTTCAAACGTAATGCAATCGACCCGTTTTTGAAATGAATTATCACTGGTGATGAAAAATGACTCATCTACAATAATATTAATCGAAAAAGATTATGGTCCAAGCAGGGTGAATCAGCATAAATCATATCGAAAGCTAAATTACATCAGAAAAAGATAATGCTGTCAATTTGGTGGAATTGCACAGGTGTTGTACATTAGCTCTTCCAAGCAACAAAGCGATCAACTCAGATGTTTACTGCCAAAAAAATTATGAAACTGGAAGAAGCAATCAAACAGAAAAGCGCCAAAATTGGCAAATTGCAAAATAACCGTGTTCCTTCTCGACAAACTAAGGCCTCACACAGCAACACGTATGAAATTATTGGAACTTGATTGGGAAGTGATGGCGCATCACCCCATAAAGTCTCGACCTTGCACGATCGGATTAATTTTTATTTCAAAGTTTGCAAAACTTCTTAAATGGTTTAAATTTCAAAGTGACATTGAATAGAATGGAAAATAGTTGACTCTTTAAAGTTCATGTTTTTTATAGAAAAAAAATTGAGTAACTTCATACTTAGAAGCGAAATTACTTTCCTTGTCAACCCGATATTTATAAGAAAATACTTACATCCAGTTGGGCCATTTATAACATGTGATTTCTGCATTGTCAAGCTGGGGTATAGCACAGGGTTCTGCTGATCGCCTCAGACGATCTCCTCTATATAAACCTTGTAATTAAAATTGTTAAATAAAAGAAACTTTATTAGTTATTTTACATATTTTTTAGGCTGGACTTAAAGTAACATAAATTGCACAAACTATGCTCGCAACTATGCTCATATTATCTGAAATCATGTCAAATTGTACTTGTCGCATTGCAGATTTAAAATAAGTGAACGATCTGAAGTTGTTCTCTAAGTTAATAAGTATTATGCTGTATACTTGAAACACTTATATTTCAGTTGGTAGCCAAAAAAGGTCCTTAGAAAATAGTTCAATGTTTTTATGAGGATACTAACTTCATGCACCTATAAGCAAAAATACTCATTCTCGATTCACACTCGAAAAAAAAATCCGAAATAACATTTGCTGAATTGTCAAGATAGGCAAGGGACAGAAACATTTTGAAAATAAGTTTTTTCACAAAATCCCAAATAAATGTGATAAATCCAGCAAAATAGGGTACGCTAAGGAGAACAGTCAGCTCGCCTAGCCCTATGTACTTTCAGACAGCCACTGAAAAGTACTTCTAGACAATTGGTGCAAAGTTAGTCCATTCTTTCGCTGAAAGCAATTCCAAAGTTCCATTGTAAAGTGCTCCCTCCTTTCTCTGCAAAGCACTTCCAAACAGTTACTGAAAAGTACTTCTAGACAATTGTTGCGAAGTAGTCCATTTTTCCTCTGAAAGCACTTACAGACACTCATTGTAAAAGGCTTCATCATCCTTCTAAAAAGCACTTCTATGTATTCGGTGTAAAATAATCTATCGAAAGGTACTCAAATTCGGTTCGCGCTCATGCAAGAACGCATAACGTTTAATGCTTACTGCATTGATTCTTACCTACAGACTGATGGTCTGCAATATTTCGTTTAAAATCAGACTTTTCTAGTGACAAAAAAGAAACAAACCCATTGAGTTAACGTAATCAGATAGCCCTTGAATGATTTATCATATTCTAAATTATCTAATGTAATCCGATTTAGTCCAATGAGGAAAGTTCTTGCCTTAATAAAAGTCCAAGAATGAAGTTAAAGCCACCTTCCTGGAAAGCGAATTTTTAACAGTTCTTAAACATTCAAAATTTTCTCAAAGCACTTTAATGGATCCTGAAAAACAAAAAGGCCGAGTACAATTTTATTGCAGTTCTTTACAAAGAAAGAATGAAATACTTGCCTTCTACAAATGGATAAAACAGATAAAGCTGTCCAAATTATACCTTTTTTGTCTACATATTATGATCAGTAGTTTAAGTCTTCACCTTGAGGAAAGATATGCGATTGGATTCTTCGCCATCTGCGATTAGGAAGAATAAAAATTATGCAACATATTTAGATACTTCTGCAGTTGACCACAAAGCAAATCTTATCACTATTTTCCAGATGCCCTGTAGTATAGTATTTCGTTTGCAATAGGAAAGTTATCAACGACTGAATGCGATAAATGATACACAAAGGCTAAAATGTATAGAGTCCTAATCCTGTAATATTAACTCAAAGTCCTTCATACCCTATTAAACTGGCAAGCGAATTATCGCTCCGTCTGATATATTAGGACTTTGTAAATTAAAGTATCGTAGTCGTAGAGTACACAGATTGGGCCTATTCAAGCTGGCTCAGCTTAATTGGATTTGGCGCTTTTTAACATTGGCTATCAAAGTGGTTAAAGCCGGAATACAAACATGCAGAGCTGGATGGAAGAAAGTAAAGTTGCTAGTACCGCTGCCAAGAGCTTTATATCAAAAACATTCAAAATCCTCGACTTGAACACCCTTAAATTGCATCTGGGGGAGATTAGGAAAAGATGAAGTTATATTAAAGGTTTAAATTGTATTAACATAAAATATTGTAAATGTTCTTATTAACAAGCTTGTTAACTGATGTCCCTATTAATACATTTATTAATAAGCAAAATAAGGAATGGTTATAATAATTAACAGTACTTAATTTATTGTTCCTAAATAATTTTTACTTCTCTACGTGTATATTATTTTTTTCATACATTTTAGAATTTCTGTAGCAAGAAGTTAACGATGACTTTTGTTGTAGCATATATTCCATGTTTTCTATAATTTTCTGGCTTATTAGATATGCACAAGTGAAGAATTTTGCAAATTCAGTAAGAATATTGTTTGATAAGGTGTTAAGGTTGCTTTTGTCCAGTTTTAAATTCTGCATTAGTTTATCTTCGAGTTAAATAATTTTGTTACGAACTATAGTATTTTCCGAACAGCGACGTCTATATAAGGACAAGAAAACTTCTGGACAACTGAGTTTTGACAGCCGCCATGGATGGAAGAATATGTGTATGAATGATGTAGAATAAACCATGTGTGTGTTTGTAAATAACGTAGTATTCTCTTGTAGTATAGAATGTGCTGTGTGAATATTTGATTCAAGTGAACTTATAAGATACCATTTTCTAGGTGGATTTAAAGAACAAGCTCTAATTTCTTTATCATAGTAAATAGAATACGTCGGAAATTTTAGAATCGTTGATGATCTACAGCCTTTTCTTGTTGATATCTTTGATTGTAGATAGAAATAACAAATTTTTGGTAACGTTAAGCGGGATCGATAAAAGAAAACGGAATGTCTGAATTCAAAACCTGAATGTTAAACTGAAGAATATTAATTCTTGTTCTTGAATTATTCAGTGAAAGAATACTTAACTTCTAAGAGTATGTTAAATTTTTGCTCTTGAAACGTGCATTAGTTTTTAAAGGAAATGCTGAAGAAAAAGGAGATAAATTGAAAAAGAAAAGAACTGTCTTGCGAAATGCCAGTACAAAACTGTTGAGTAAATCGAAAGTTATGAGCTTAAAAAATTGTCAGAACAGTTCAGTGCTAAAACCGGAACATTGTCCAATACCCATGGCAAAACTGGATCAGTTTTAAGAGTAGACGAATTTAAAAAGGACGGATTTAAATGATAAAATAATATCGTGAGAAGATAAAATTATGGAAAATACTGCAATTCGTAACAAAATAGATCAGACACATAACGTGAAAATAGAAATGCAGAATGTGTTAACATTTTAGGAAGTTAATATTTTTTAAATAGTTAAAAATTATATAATATCAATTACAAATCTTTCTTACCTTCAGTAGCTCTAGGTATCGTAAATTCGATAGGATAAAATGGTGAAATTAATGAATCCAAAATTTCTGGTCCTCCAGCACCAACTAAATGAAGATGATTAACGAATTTTAAAAAGGGCAACAATACTAGTCATATAACCTAAAAGCGTTGCAGTATTTTTAAATAATCAGAAAATAACAGGTTACTAAATATAATCTGATGAATATACTCTCCTCGTACAAACAGAACGAAAATTCCTAATGCAAAAATAGTTTGAGAATTTTCAGGAGTTTAAAAAATTTTCTTAAACGAGTTATTAGTCTGGAATAAAAACTTCTGCTGAGTATAATGAACATTACCATTTGGAAGGGCATTAATGGAACCGTTTGGCTGATGATTTGACGAAATATTCTGAGTCTTCATAGCAAAAGAACCTGATAAAGACAAAGAGATATGTCAGCATTATAATTATAAGCAATAATATAAATCACCAAAACAGTTATGATCATTAAAATACGTTAAATTAATTAATGCATGTTTATGTTAATTATGTAGCTGTTAAATTCAAAGTTAAAATACCGAAAGACTGGGGATATAAAAAATTAATCACTTATAATTGAAATGTAAGTTAGTTTTCACCACGAGAAGTGCTATTACTCGCCATCCTCACTTTTTGGTCTATATTACTTTTCAAATAAAAGGATGTTACCACCCAATTCTATCACTATCTATTGTTTTTTAAAGAAACAATGCAACGAATGTTAAAAAAAAATGGTAATCCTAACACTCAACTCGGAATTCTAAACATATGCTGCTTTTAAAATTTTATGACTTCACTGTGGAATTTTGCGAGTAGTAAGCGCAAAATAAACAATGTTTAAAAAATCAAATATTTCCTTCTTTTTTCCCCCTCCAAAGCTAAATTTTTCGCTTATGAAACTGGGCTTAAAATTGTTTCTTTCCCGAGCTCTCATAGCCTATTTAGAAGTTCGCGCCAAATCAACTTGGACCGCCCACTTGTCACACTCAAGAATGTTGAATAAAGTTACTCTGCCTTAATTCATCGGAACTCGGTTTTATCCTTTGACAAAAAGTTACTCATCTATAAAGCCATGTTATTACTTATGCCTGTCCCGTCTGGGGTTTTGTATGTAAAACCACGTTTCAGAAAGTGAAAATTAGTCAAAACATTACACTACGCTAAACTGCTCGTGCTCGCTGTTTCTACCATAATGCAACTATACACGAAGAGCTTGGCATAAAACCTATTACTGTATTTACTGCAAAATTTTCTAAAAACATTTTAAACAGAATTTCCAGGGCTAACAACCCCTCAATTCCAATGCTAAATTATGAACATTATCTTGTAGTTAACAGAAGACGGCCTAGAGCCGTTAGACGTTTAGACTGATTCAGAGTCGTAGCTAGGGTTTTCAGCGCCCAGGGACAACTGAAGATTTCGTGCCCCCTACTGCTTGCCAAGGATGGAAAACATTTAATTCTAAAATGTCGTAACATCAGTTTGGCGCCCCTTGGATTCTGACCCCGGGGACAGATGCCCCCCTTGCCCGCCTCTAGCTACGCCCCTCGACTGATTATTACTCAGTTGCTGTGCTTTGTTTCTTGTATCGACTTTCCCCCTAATTATCATTTGTCGGCTACCCTTTTCTAAACGTATGGCTTCTGCCATTTTTTACTTCCTTGTACGAAGTAAAAAGGAAGTATTGTAATCGCGAAAAGTTTCAGCCAGCATATTTCAACGAAAATATCCATTTTGATCGCTATCGAATGCAATTTAACGATGTTTTTGCGTGATATCTGTACGTAAGGACAGAAAAAAGACTCGTTTCCTCCAAAAAAATTATAAAACTGCTTTAAAATGAATTCTGAAGAGAATTTTTTGTGGCGTCTGTACGAACGTATGTACGTACGTGCGTATGTACGTATCTCGCATAACTCGAAAACAAGTAGCCTCAAAACGTTGAAATTTTGTATATAGGACTGCTATAACATGTAGATGTGCACCTCGTATTTTGGTTGCAATCCACCAAACTTATATAAATACTATATGTATATATATATCTACTCTGTTACTCGGCACAGTGATCTCAGTTTCTTACTCTTATATGTTTGTAAATTGTACATTTTTTGCTTTAAAAATGATTGAATTATATTGTTCTTATCTTCCGGTTAAGGTTTTTATGCCTTTCGTAATTCTGGAAGCAATATTTGTACAATTATCAACAATTTAAAAGCTCTTAAAGTGCGGTTAAGTTTTAAATAACATGGCGGACATATTTGTTTACATTTGAAACAGCAGAATTGTAGATTTGTTGCCAATCTAGAGAGACTAAGCTTCGCAACAACAAAAATAACGCCTTCATTTATTATTGCGAATTAAATCATGCTTAATCCTTTCTGGAATTTTTTCGAGGAAATAAGTGTTTAAGATTTACTTCGTAACTTTTAATACAGATATTTTGAGTTTTTATGTATTTTTGCCTTCTCGCGAAGTGAGAACTGAGTTAATTGAATGAGAAATACTAAATCGTCTGTGAAAAACTGTTTCTTTTCTGTTTTGTTTGATTAATTTCTTTCATACATCGTTCTAGCTTTATTATAGTATTTGAATAGAACATGTGGCAAAGATAAGATAATTCTTCAAATGATATAAATTTTGTGCATTCAGAGTGTCGTTATAGTAAACAAATATAGTGAATTTTAAACAGGGCATTTATTCCATAGTGGTTTATGCGCTGTCGATGAAGTAGATTTAATTAAATCCAATCAATTTAAACGAAATTCAAGAAAAAAATGCATATAATTTAATATTCCGTACAAGGAAGTCATGTGGTGTACACATCAGATTTTTTTTTTTAAACCTATTACTTTATTTCATTTTACATGCAGGCTGTTATAACATGTTATTTCTGTTTGTGTTATTATTTGTATATTATTATTTGGAACAAAGCCTGTAATTTTCTGGTGATTTCTTTAGTTTCAACCAATAGCTAAGCTTCCTCCAGCAAATCGTTGAACTTTCAGTCATGTGTGCCATTTGACTGATCTCATTACTCTCACTTCTCCATCCGTGCTTTACATACAAGCTTCGACATCTACGGACATGCTTCCTTTCGCATAGCCTTTATTACGAACAATTTCCCATCTTTTTTTTTTTTCCATCTACAAGGAATTGCTGCAAGGGCTATTCTGCTTTAAAGTTATTTTTTCATGCTATGTTTATCACATATCTTGTTAGCCTGGGATAGAGTTCTGGCCCAGGAACCCGTGTTTCGTGGCCTGCAGCCATCTAAGAAAGTTAATCTAACCACGAGAAAAGAAATATTTTGTATTTCCTAGTCTCTTATCTAAAAATTAACAAAGATGATTTCTTAAATTTACAATTTCAAAGGAGCAGTTATCCCCAATGCTATGCCAGCTAACAAGGGGTTCGTTTCTATTTCCTGTCTTTTTAAGTGAACTATGATCCTCATTCTACTCCGATCTGGAGAAAGCTTAACCCTTTCGGCTACAAATCTCCTCTCTTTATGTTCGCCGACTTCAGGGGGATTGGAAAACATGAAGTGACGATTCTCTCTCGGGGGATAATAATCCAGGCCATATTTAACTCCAACGAGTACATCTCGTTGATGACTCCTGGTGACAATTCTCAAATCGATGAGTCTGTTTCAGGGGATACGGGGAAGTGGTCAAGAATAAAGTTTAAAAGACAAAATGTGTTGTGTTAGGAGGAGTTAGTCCGATAGCAGGTTGGTAAAATGTGACCTCAGAGAAAACATAAAACATCTTAACAAACCCTCTGCTATGACGTTCCCCCGCCTTCTTCTTTAAAAAAAAAAAAAAAACGGGGACGACGGTCTGATCACGTTTTATTAAAAATTAAAAAAAAAAAAAAAAAAAAAAAAAAAAAAAAAAAAAGAAAGTTGACACGAAAGCAGTTAGAAAAGCACTTCAAATAGGATTAACACATATTATAATTAACAGAAAAGCATTGTTATTATTTTTCTGAAATGACAAACCTGTTTTTTTCCATATTTCGATTTTACAATTTATATTATGTCCAAATATTAAATTTGGTAAGAATTATACCGAGAAATTAAAAAATGTATCTTAATGTATTTTTTTCAGTTGGTGCCGAAAATAATTCACTTAATTAAATTCTTAATTTATAGCAACCTGTTTCCCTTACCCTTTTCTCCTTATACACTAGCGGAAAAAAAGATGTATCGTTCATTCTTTCAAATAATTTTAACAAAGTGCTTACAGCGGATTTGATGTTATTACCTCTTTTAACTAATCTGCCATATTTCAAAACGCGCCAGTATATAAATTTACGTATACCTTTGGAAAATTTGAATTAAAAACTTTAATTTTTTTGCAGATATGCCTAGAAATACATCTACTTTAAGAAGATGGTAAAACTTTTGCAGGTTATAATTCAAAAATGTTTTCGAAACATTTATAAAAATTACTAAAAAATATGAATTTATAAAATGAATCAAGAAATATTTGCGAAATTTATATGGACTAAACCTAAATTTTGAATTGTGAAAGAATGAGTCAGGTAAGATTAATAATAATAAAAAAGAGGTTATAAGGTATTTCTCCCGCCTTCTTCGCATACCTTCGTGATGTGGTGGTCTGCACTCTGGGCGCGTATTCCAGAGGTCCGCGGTTCGATTCCCGGCGAAGGCGTCGCTAATTTTTCATCTCTCTGGCTTCGAAAAGATACTAATGTCTCTTCAGTAGCGCCGAACTAAAATGGCGTTGGATGATGATTCACCTCACCCAGGATTCGACGATTGGTTCCCCTAAAAACCCCAGTCGCCCGTTAAAAGGGGGAGTAGATAAGGTATTTCTTTCGCCTTCTTCACATGCCTTCGTGGTGGGGTAGTCTTCACGCTAGGCACGTATTCCAGAGGTCCACGGTTCGATTCCCGGCGAAGGAGTTGCTAATTTTTCATCTCTCTGGAAAAAATCCTGACGTCTCTACAAGGTATTAATAAATATATAGCAAATTCAATTATCGAAGCGCTAAAATTTTGAGTGTTGATTTTTTAAAAACTACTAGTGCGGTTTGTACAGAACTTATCATTTTGGCATAATTTGAATCTGAGAATGGAAATATGGAAAAAAATCGGAATGCCATTTCAGAAAAAGTCCAATTTTGTGTCAGAATACCTGTGTTTGAACAGCGCTATATGTAAATCTAATACGTATCATAAGTCGCGATTTCGAGATATGAGAAATGCAAGTTGAACTTCATCAACCAGCCCACTAGAATTGGAGATATCGAACTTTATCTTCTCTCTCTTTTTTTTTTTTTTTTTTTTTTTTTTGTGTGTGTGTGTGTGTGCAAGGTGTACATATATTTCTAATCAGAAAAATAGTTTTAACGACTCAAATATTCATCTTTTAGTGTTTTAAAATTAAAAAAAATCTATTTTATATAAATATCAAATATAAATTTTTACGCATTCCTGCGGTTCTCATACTTATGCGGCGGACCACGCAGAGATGAGAAAATTGTGTATTGACATGGTTCTGATATCGCAGACGCAATAATTCGTTTTAGTGACAGTACAAGAGACATAACTTCACTACCAGTGTCAAGAGAATTTAGTGTTCTGCACTTGTGTCTGTCGTCAAAGCCTCTTGACTTCAGGAGGGCTGACGAAAAGGATCTTGTTTTTTCTCTGATATCGTTCCAGATATAACGAATCAGAGGATGTAAAATACTACTGATGAATTAAAGAGACGTGGCTAATTCAGTCTGAAGATTTTTAGGTAAGAAAACAGACGCGAATACTTAACCGTCCTCGCACTAGAAAGAAAGTAAGTGAATCAATTCAAATTCTGGCCTTTTATGTATATTATGTACACATTTGAACTTTATCCAGCACAGAAATTTACTTATTCCTACACAATTTGGCAATAATATCTCGAGATTTCTAATAAATCCATTAACGGAACTGCTACATTCAAAATGAATTCTTTAATTCATCTCACTTTAATCTCACTAATTTAATTTAAACTCGACTTACAAGTTTGGTTTTAAATTATATTGCTAGTTTGGCATCATACTTCTTATTTGAGTATAAGACAAAACACCTTCGCATTTATTAATTATTGTTAACTGAACAAGGATTGGTTTGTTCCTTTTGAAACGTCAACCAATTTTGATAAATGACTATAAATACTTGGTTTATTAATTTTCATTTTAAAAGTTTCCATTTCTTTTTTTCATGATTTAAATTCAAGTTCCTTTAAAAATATTATTTTCGGGATTAAATTTCGGTGCTTCTGGATTACTTCATTCAGATACATAACTTTATAGTAGGAGATAATATGATCAATATTACTTTTTAGTAAATAAAATATATATGTGTGTGCTACTCTATGTGCTACTTTCTCTATATATATTACTACTCTCTGTGTATGTCATTTTACATATTTATATATAAAGAGAGATATATATAGAGAGAGATGTATATATATATAGAGAGAGAGGAAAATGGCTTCTACAATATTTAGCAGGAGTATCAACTGCAAATAAAAATAAATTTTGTCCAATGTAAGAATAAAAATGTTGATCACTAGGTTTAATTTTTTTCATTGATTTAATAATATATTAAATTTTAATCGTTTTTTTATTTTAGGAAACAAGGGTTTAAAAATATTTCTTAATAATCTTCAAAATAAGGAATCAAAAATAACAAATGAAAGTTTTCTCAAAATATTTTAAATTTACCGTTGGACAAAGAATCATGTGAACCGTTTCGATGGATATTCGGAGAAGCATTCGCATTCTTCACATCATGTGTACCTGTTTGAAAGGCAAAGGCAGAATGAAAAGATCAACATCATGGACATAACATAGTTGTGCAACTGTTATTCAGTTTAGGAAAATTATCAAAAAGCGAGCAGAAAAAAGGGGGTGATGACAAGCTATTTATCACTGTAATAAATAATAACTAAAAATAACGAGAAGTATTATCTTGTAATAAAAGAACACGGGAAGTAAATAAATGTTTAATAAATTAATAAGAAAGCAATAGGAATCGGTGCAGTGTGATTTGTAGGTTTATACTCTCGAAGATCAAACAGAATCTTCTCCATAAGCCGCGCGAGTCAAAATGACAAAAACGTAACATGTACTTTTGCAAGACTAACAGAGAAAATGTCCTATCCTCTGACGGTAAATTAGATTCCCTAGAGGCATTCCGTATTCATAAAAATTTTTCGATTCTAATGAATGATCTCAATTCCCTTTTTTTACTCAGCTTTTCAAGCGTTTGCTAATTAGTGGTTTTCCTTGCACTTTTCTGCCAATAGATGACGTAATTGCTTCGTTTTTTACATTTAGCTAGAACTTTTTTTAAAAATATTTTTCTGTTTTTTCTACGAAGGCACATAATTATTTTTCGCCATTTTCACTCCAACAGCTGGAAGATCTGTCTAACCTTCAACATTAACTGAACATTTTTTCATGTTAGTGTCGATTCCAGTTGCTTTTTAATGACTTTTTAAACACTTAAGTGTTATTATCATTTTTAGAGTCATGTTTTAAAACCACAGTAATAAATGAAAAATTAACAAAGCATCATGTTTTAGATCATAATAATGTATGAATTTAAAAGTCTGTCGAATACCAGAACCAGCTAAAACAGAATCATAATAATGTACATGATCTTAAAACTTTGTGGAATACCAGAACCAGTTAGTACAAAATCAGAGGGAAAAAAAACATAATAATCTTTTCTTTACCTTGTAGGATTTCGCTTCTGTGTTATTGCTAATTCGTCCAGTAACGTTAACAGACTTGTAGCGAATTATCGCTATGTCTGAAAAAGCGACAATGAGAAACTCAAAATAACATTTTTATTTAAACAGAGTTTATGACAAAAGGACACTCTCTTATTCTACAAAATAAACCACGACTCGTTGTGATGCAATTAAACAGAGCAGTCAAATTTAAGTTAAACTCTGAAGAGTAGTCAAAAACTACACAATTCTATATCAGAAGAAGCTGGTTCACTGTTTTACTGGAGCCTCAGAAATTAAAATTAAATGATGGAAGCGATAGATTGCGAGCTGACAGGAAACTGACACGTAACGTACATGCGATGCCAGATACACGCTCTGTCTTAAAATCCAAAAATCTCAATTTAAATACTGGCTACTCATTTGCATTCTGGTGATGATACAGAAAGGAGAAGTTATAGTAATGGCTGAAACTATAAATGACTGGTCAATTAATGTAAAATTCCTTACAACTTATAACATGTTTTCTCCCCTCTTTCCACATGCCTTCGTAGTACAACTGGAAGCACGCTTGACGCGTATTCGAAAAGACCAGAGTTCAAATCCCGGAGAGGGCATTGCACATTTTTCCCGTTCCTGCATCGATATAACCTAATGACTCTACAACTGTTATAAAATAAATACGAGTAATTATAACTGGAAACACCTTCTTTTATTTATTCACGCGACTTCAGGAAACAAACATGAGGTAAGATTATATAACACTGGAGCAGTTTATAGAAATGAGCAGGTGTTCAGCTTAAAAATTTAAAAGCACGAAGAACTGCATGTTGATTACCCTGTTAAAAGACGAGAAAGAATGTTTCATAGTAATTTCCATTCATTTTCTGAGGGACTCAAAAACTTTTCTCAAATAGGAATTTTCTCAAAGAGAGGCTTCGCATTATTATCGGTTAAGGATGAAAATATTGGAAACTACTGAATAAAAACCTTACTTTTACTTTATTCAAGAAACTTTGGTATCAGCTTGTTATGTTTAGTCTGTATTCAAATAAATTAAGACTAACAATTTTGAAGAATTTTCAAAGAGTAACGCTTTCAGCAGTTATATTGGCTAGCCACAGGAAGTAATTGTTTTGAAGGAAATATGCAGGGTAAATCATGTCATTACCAATTTTTATGGAAAGTCAACTAATTACGAGGAAAATATGGTACTTTTTATTAAATGCATGTAATAATTTTTCTAAAAACATTTTAGTTTTAATTTTAATTCGTTATTTATATAAATACATACGCACACATATATATAGATATATGTGCGTGTGTCTCTCTCTATATATGTTTACTTATTTGTTCCGTGGATTAAAAAGTCAGGTAAAGTTTCTTTAAGATGACCATCCATGAATCTAAGCGATTTCGGTCTGCAAAAGTGGTGTCCTTAGAAAACAGGACTATCTACAATGTCCCGTACTCTTACTTGATTATGGTCTCAGAAATACTCATCGCTCCTTAAAGTGGTTGCTTTAGAGAGGAGTTGACATAAATTTTATTACATTGCATTTAATAAGTAAACCATTTCCTTATGATCTCCTCTCTGACAAGGCCATTCCCTATGAGGCCACTTTTCTAAAAATACATGTATATATAGATATTGGCATTGAAATCAGCTCGATCACCTCCATTGAAGATCAAGCATAATATGTACTCATGGTAGTCATAGATACGGTCCATGGTATTTTTAAATAATTATGACAGACAATTTTACTGTTTTCTTCTTGTTATTTGGTTAATACAGTATAACCACAGGTAGATTTTTGAAAATGGTTGCTTCAAAAGATTTGATAAATTTTCTTAAAATTATTCTTTATTTCCCTGTACAAAGTAAAAGAAGTACTGTAATTCCGAAAAATGTTAAGTATAATATTTCAAAGGAAATATCCATTTTGGCCGTGCGGGACGTCTGTAGGTACAGATAGAATAAAGGATTCTTTTTGCAGTTTTATACACGTGATGAAGAAATAAAATTATAAGCTGTTTAACTCTTGTATGACAAAAATTGACTGGCATATTTAATTTCAAAATGTGCAATTTTTGATTGAGAAATCGGTTAATTAAGTTAGAATAGTTCGAGGAAATAAATTTAAATGAAGAGCAGCAAAAATATGCACAATTTAAAAAGCCGTACAAGGACGTTGTGTAATTCAGACTTTTTATCGCAAAGAATTTCGGTTATCAGATTTCAAAGAAAATATCCATTTTGACTTTTTCTGTATGTGACATGTGTAACAGTGAGAACAAATGACTAAAACGAATTGGAAAATGGATTCAAAATGCATATAAAACAGGGTTTTTTTTCCCTGATGTTGGGTACGCACGCATGTACGTATACATCTGCATCACTCAAAACCGATTAACTGTAGAACGTTGAAATTTTGTAAATGGAACTGCTATAACATTTAGTCGTGCACCTTCCCTTTTTATTGTAATTGGCAATACCAAAAGTATATTGTATGTACACTTATTCAATCCCTTACCTTAGACCTTATTTTCGCAATTGTTGGCCGTAGACATATACTTCCAATGACAGATGTGTTTTAAATTATTAAAATATTCATGTTTCTGTAAATTTCAAATTAAAAAAAATATTTTGGATAAAAAACGAAATCTAACTTTTAAAGCCATCTTCCGCTTCCTATACGTATATTTGGGAAATGTTTACACTCACTGTGAAAGAATAAAAATACGAGGAATTTGACTCCCTTATGACAAAAATCGACTGGGATATTTTTTCCACTTTCCTTGAGGGAACAGTTAATTAAGGTAGAATAATTCGAGGAAAATTAAATTTAAATGAAATGCAACAAAAAATGTGTATAATTTAATAGACCCGTACAAGCAAGTCATGTAGTGTCCACATCAGATTTTTTTTTATTAAATCTCATTAAATTATTTATTATGTCTCAAATGAAAACTGTCATTGAATGAAACAGTAGTTACCATTTGTCAAAGGATTGCGAGAATAGTTTTGATTGTAATTTGTAGAAATATTCTCATTCTTCGCAGCTAATGTACCTAGTTTGGGAAGAAAAAGAATTCAGCATTGTTATACAAAGTTGTTCAATTCATTAGTTAACTTCAGACAATAACAGAGTATGGATACGAGAATAATGACTGATAACTACTTAGTATCGAAAGAATATTAAAAATTAATCAAAACAAATATGAGCTAGTATTATTGTTCTGATTCACGATGAAATTTTAATAGCAGGTAGAGAATATTATTAAGCGTTTTTAATATAATCACTTAAAGGGAGGCAATAAAAGAAAAAAGAAGATTGTTACCTCGCAGCAGAGGGTTTATTAAGGTTTTTTTATGCTTTGGCTGAACTCGCAGTTTACCAATTTCCTCTTGTTCTCACTTCTACTAACACAACATTTTTTGTGTTTTTAGTTTTATCATACTTTCTTATCACATAATATTCAGCAGCAAAATTTCAAAATTCTTAGAGGCAGCATAATATCAGTGTTCAGTTTTGTTAACAAGATCACCAACATTACGGGCAGAATAAAGAAGTTTTTTTGCAAAACGGATTGTAAAATGGATTCAAAAGAGATTTTTTTTCGTGACGTTTGTACGTATGTAGGTATGTATATCGTATAACGTAAAAACGAATTGCCGTAAAACATTGAAATTTTGTATACGGGATTGCTATAATATCTAACTGTGCGCCTCCCATATTCGTTGCAATCGGTCGCACTAAACATATATAAATACAACTATATAAAAAGAAACATAGTAATGAGAGAACAATTAAAAACAAAAACAATTTAACCAATCCTACGCTATAACTGCAGGATTGAAGTAAATTAAAGTTAAAGCATCTTAAGTTGTCACTGGTCGCAGATTAATTGACTTGTTAAGGAGAACAAACCAATCTACCATCAATTAACAATTAAATTAAGTGAGAGTGTTTCGTCTTTCTTCCGAGTAAGGATCAAATTATATTTCTACTAGAGCCAAATCATAAGTCACGAACAATACTTAATCAATAGAAAAACATTAGTCCATTTAAGGCAAAAAGAACCTTCATAAACAAAAGCAAATTAGCAAATAATCTTTTTAATTTAAGTTGCTCAGAAAGAATATTACTAAACGATATCCTTCCTTTAGAACATATATTCCCCGACACTCTCCTTTTCAAAATCAAAATCAAAAGTAAAACCAAAAATTATGCATATTTTAACATTAACAGGTAATCCAGAATCAAAAGAAGATTAAAACTGACATAATCTTTTAGATTAAAGGTTTAGTAAAAGTAGTTAATTAGACATTTAAAGATCAAACTCAGGAAGGAAATTAAAATTAACTTATTTGCCTGTGAAAATTTAGAACGAAAAGGCTGGAAATGCAATTGTATTCAGTGATGGAATGTAAGAGGGTTGTCGTAAAACGTTTTGCGCTGTGTTTAAGATAGTTTAGCCTTACTCTGACAAGAAAACTTTTATTTAGAATATATATATAGATATATATATATACATAAAAAAACTTAATAATAATAAAAATTAAAAACAAATTTTTTATAGCTGCAGGATTGAAGTAAAATAAACTTAGAGCATATAATGTTAAAAGTAAACTGGAGTTAAAGCAAGGCAGTTCCTCAACAATATGGGAGCTCAGTTTTTTTTATTCTCATATGTTGTTAAATTGTGCATATTTTGCTTTAAAGGTGATTGAATTATGTTTTTCCCGTCTTTCGTTAAGGTTTTCAAGTCTTTAGTTAAACTATGTGCAATACTTGTAGAATTGTCAATAATACAAAAGTTTAGGTAGCGTTAGACTTAATCAGGCAGCCGTTTGTTTACATTTGAAACCCTTAGTAGAAATTGTGAATTTAGTTGGTGCACCAATGAGTATACCAATTCAGTGTCTTTTTCCCTAGTGAGACTAAAAATTAATTTTCAGTTTTTGTGCAATGCAGATTTTGACTTCCTTCCCGTGCCCGAATTGCTTGGTTTTGCGTACAAACTTTAATTTTGTTTTTAAGGGTATTTAGTCTTTTAATTTTTTCTTCTTTTTACAATTTTTAATGAAGATATCTTGAATTTTATGTATTTTTGCTTTGCCGTGAAGTGAGAACTGAACTGATTGAACAAGAAATATATATCTAATGAAATTCGAGGAAACAAGTTTAAATGAAGAGCAACAAAAAATGAGTATAGTTTAAAAGGCCGTACAAGGAATTCATGTGGTGTAATGCGGTGTATTCATGACCTATCCTCTGGCGGTAAACATTAAATTTGCTTATTAAACTTGCGTGGAAGTTGAAAAAATTTCTCTCACAAACGACTAGAATAGAATAAAGCTATTCAGAAAAAAAAAAAAAAAAAAAAGGAAAAAATAAAAGTTTTTGGAATAACAACAGAGATAACAGACTAATTAGGGACTGACTGTATTTGAAAGAACAAAAATTACCGTTTTCAAAAGGTCTACGAGAAAGGTTTTGACGGTTATTCGAAGCATTCACACTCCTCATGTCAAGCGGTGTTCCTAAACAGGAAAAAGAAAGGAAGAAATGAAAACTGTATTACACAAAGTTATAGTGAATCAAATAAACAGAAGCTGGCAGAGTTGCAAAATGTACTTTTTAGCAAAACTCTAAATTGTCATCAAAAGCGGAATATTTGGAGTCTTAGGCTGTGATAGGTTATTTGAATACGGCAAAAAGCATGAAGGTTATGTGCTTACGGGAAGAGATGCCTCCCAAGACAAGTTTCTTACAGAAATTGCTCGTACTCACGTTACATATGAGGAAAACCACATAAACCAACTATGCAGCCAGATCGATCATTTGGGATCGAATCTTTGTTGAAGTTTTCAGTATTCAGCGGTCTTAACCTTTACTTTGCTTTATTTTACTGCTCTTACAGAGTAAAGGTTTACTTGAGGATGGTGCTTACCAGCCTGTTTAGGTCCTGCCAGTGATTCTAATTTCATCCATACGTCCGGAGACGTGGCTCTCGGAAGCTGTCTTTATTAGAAAGGGCAACGAAAATAAAGTGGAAGTTCTGCAGTCAATCAAGCGGCCTGTTTTGATTGTTCAGTCGTTAAGTTTAACTAGGTTAGAAGTTAACATGCATGTGTTGTTCTTTTAGATTAAAAGGGGCTGTCTTTTTGGGGGGGGTTCTAATGTCCTAGTATATCACTGTCTTGAATAATATGTATTTTGTAAATCGTATATTGGTAGGGAAAAAAAACGGAAGATGCAACCACTGAAATCCATAGAAATGGCTTGTAAGACAAAATAGCAGAGACAAATTTCAAAGTAGTATTAGATACTACTCAGTTAAATTAATCAATTTGTTCGATATTGACAGAGCTATATTGATGGAGCTCTAAATATGTTTAATTTCCATATTAATACTTTTAGGTATTTTCGTCGTATACTTAAGCAGTCTTAAGCCATTCTGACAATAGTGGAGACAATCTGGAGTTAAGCAAGAAGTATTTGGTAAAGAATGAAGAATACAGGGTGACCCAACAAAAGCGTTGGATTTAATATGCCGTTAAACTTTACTTTAACATTTAACTTTACTTTTAAAAAATAGAAAATATTTTTACATATTTACAACAGGTAAATTTTCCAATTTAAGAATGTCATGTTTGATTTCATCTGTTAATACTGGTATGTCAGTTCATTTCGCAACTTGCAGCTTAGTCGAAATGGAGCGTTAGACAAAGGAACAAAGAGATTTGATCGGGGAAATTCACTGCAAGAACGGCCGTTGTTATGCATAGAACTGTTAGAAAGCTTCTTGGAAGCTTTGGACGTCAACGTCCATTTCATTAAAAACAATTCGAAGATTGATAAAGAAATTTAGGGACACAGGATTTGAACAGACATTAAATCACCATGCTCTCGGTCAAGCCGGTTCGTTGAAAAATGGCAATGTTTTTGCAAGTTCCCCAAAATCCTATTTTAAAGAGAAATAACAAATAAACTCACACAGGAAACTGAATGTGTCATTAGTCACTTCGATAAGCAGATATGTGAAAAAAAATTATTGCGAATTTCATCGAACGAACTTGGTGATACAGAGAAGCCATAGAAGACATATACCATGCATTCTTAAAGCGGAACACTTACCTTTCCTAAGTACGTTAAAATATTCTTAAAATGAAGTATTTTATTGGACGTAATAAATCCGACGTTTTTGTTAGAAAACCCTTTATGTTCAGTGAAATGTACGTAGTCCTGTCCTGGTGACAAAAGATACGCTGCAACCTCAGCATACCTCAAAGACATGCTACAAGTTATGTACGATAAAAATAATATTTCCGGAAGAATTCATTGCAATTGTTGAACAATTTTATGCCACCGGCAAAGCAAGATTCACTGTAAGGATAGTTTCTTTCTTAGAAAGGTTCAGCGTGTTATTATTTTGCTGCGTTTTTGACTAAATCTAAATTTATTTTCACATAACATTTTGGGGCCATTTAAAAAATTATTCTGGATAATCTGATCAGCGGCGCACAACAATCCTTGAACTCGCGTAACCAATACTTTCGTTACATCGTATATTTCGGCATATAACGGGCATTTTCAATGCAAAAAATAAGATCGAAATTTACGGGTGAGCATTATACGCTGGGTATAAAAATGATAGATTTAAAAATAAGGAATGAACGCTAAAAAATGTATTTCTTTATGTACTTAAATGCTGTTTATTTATTTTATTATTTTATTGTTTTATTTAAATGAAATGACATATCTTATAAACTTTAAAATTTTCATTATCGGAATGCATGTAATGTTCATCATATTCGTCTTCTGTTATATCTTCAGGCACATCATCGAATTCTGTTTCATCTTCCCTACCACTGTCACTCTAATCTGTCAATGGGTAGTCATCTTCCGTTCCATCTAGATTGTTAGATATACTGCACTTTTTAAATTACTTTTGAATTAAGTCGGGTTTAATTTCATTCTATGCTTTTATTAGCCACTCGCATACTATTTCTAAACTGGCATGACGCATTTGACCTTGTTCTGTATATGTCTTTCAACCTTCTAACATCCATGTATTGCACTGTCATTTAAAATTTTCTTTGAATGGTTTATTGTCATTTAAATGCTGAACTAATGCGGTTAATCCGCCTAGAATAACTACCATGTCTGTATTACACTCTTTCAATAATTTCTTTGTATTATCCGTTAAATGAGATCTGAACACGTTTGAATCCGTCTGAACACGTCTCAGACTAAAAGACTTTCTGGATTCTTTAAAGCAAAAGGATGCTTTTGCCAGATATTTCTCATCCACAGTTTCACATCGTTTACGGCCATCCATGAATGAAAACACTATTTGGGAAATCACATTTTGGCATCGTCTGTTTTTTTAAAAATAGCCATGAGTTTTCATTTTGAACCATTCGCGAAGGAGGAAAGCACTACGGTGGAGTGAGATCTTTCGTGACCTGTTCCTTTTATGTGAACCGTTTTTGTTCCTGTCACTTCAATTGTTTTACTTCCTATCATAGCAAGCATAACCGGAGTTTCATCCATATTTCCAATATGTGTCAGTAAATACTTTTTTTGCCTTCGTAGGTCAATAAATTCCTCTGGAAATTAATTAGTTTATTATCCAAATCTTTCGGAAGCCTTTGCGATACTTCTGTTTTTCTCGTAGAATTAAATTATTCCGTGCCACGAATCTACTATACCAACTCAAAGTTGCTTTAAAATTTTCTTTTTTATTTACATTCTCTTTGGCCCACTTTAAGGCAAATAAACGCGCTCTACTTCTTCATGAAGAATAGAATATACCCTTTCGCTATACGGCGAATATACCTAAAATTAAAAAATATAGCTTAAAATTATAGATGCGCGTAATACACCGGTGCGCGTTATACGTCGGAATGAATGTGAATATCGTATTTAAATGAATGTTGGTGGAAAAAGGAATAATGAAAAACAGAACTCGCGAAATCAGTGAAATTTCCATTTTGACCGTTCCCGAATCCATTTTGACTTTTTTTGGGTGGGAGGTTTGTGTGGGACGTTTGTTAAAAGGTTCTTTATTATAAAACGGGTTGTAAAATCAGATTTGGAGTTAAGTCTGTACGTACGTTTGTATCTCGCATTATTCAAAAATGATTAGTCCCCGTAGAAGGCTGAAATTTTGTATATGGGACTACTGCTGAACATCTAATTGAGCATTTTCCCTTTTTATTCCAATCGACAGTACCAAAAGTATATATGTTTGTATACATACAGAGAAAGACAATTTTAGTTTTCGGCATTTTACTTTGTTTTTCTTTGTATACATATAGAGGGTTTTCCCGAATTCCACTAGAAAAATGAATAGCCGTAGAAGGTTGAAATTTTTTACATGAGACTACGTTCATCTCCCTGTTTTTTGTATAGGAATGTAGGGTCTAAAGTGACGGGTTAAGGCAGAAACAAAAAAAAAAAAAAAAAAAAAAAAAAAAAAAAAAAAAAAAAAAAAACGAAACGAGAGGAAAAATGTGTTTATGTACAAAATCAACGCAAAGTATTTCTTTGCAGCAATACAATATTCAGAATAAATATTCAAAAAAGGGAACATTAACAGTAGTAGGAACTATAGCTGTGATTGGCTGGCAATGCAGCGGTAGTGAGCCGGACAAACCACGATCCGATGCATCAGAGGATCATTCGCAACTCTGATGTCGAACGTGATTAGTGAGTTTACGCACAGGGAAAAAGCTGACATGCATCTCGTGTATGGTGCTGCTAATGGATACGACACAGCAGCGCTACGGTTTTCGAACAGGCGTATGCCGAAGCAAACAATGTTCGAGAGGTTGCATCGGTCTCTGTGTGAAAACGGGCCATTTGAAGCCACCTCTGACACTAGGAGTGGAAGAAGTGCACGACAACCTTACATTGAAGAATCCATTTTGAAGATTATGCATGAATCACCTCAGACTAGTACAAGAACTATTGCACGTCGTCTGCAGCTGAGTCATTCCACCCTTCGGAGAGTATTGCATGAAAATGGTTTGCACCCATACCATTTGCAGAGAGTCCAAGCCTTGCAAGAGACAGATTACCCTCTTCGAGTTCATTTCTGTCATCGATTCTTGCAGCAGTGTGCGGCGCAACAGGATTTCCCATCGGATGTGCTATTCACGGACGATGCAACTTTGTCACAGGACGGCATCTTCAATAGTACAACATGTACGTGTGGGCAACTCATAATCCACACGGCACGCGTCCACATGCATTCCAAACCCGCTTCTCCGTGAATGTGTGGGCAAGTATTGTTAACGACTACCTCATAGGCCCCTACCTCTTGCCTGCACGTACAAGTGGCTTATGTTATTATATTTTTCTGCAAGAGGTGCTACCGGAATTGCTGTAGGATGTACCGACTGTCGCTCGTGATCGCATATAGTTCCAGCATGATGATGCACCAGCCCATAACCACGTGCGGGTCCGTAATTACTTGGATGGGACATTTCCAGGCCGATGGATTCGCCGTGGTGGACCCGTTCGATGGCCACCTCGTTCGCCAGATTTATCCAGCTTGGAATTTTTTTTATGGGGCCATCTGAAGAGCATCATTTACGAGACTCCCGTTGACTCACTGGAGGACCTCGTTGCACGACTATCCATTGCGGCTGCAAGCGTGAGCGAAATGCCTATTATTTTTCAAAATGTTCGTCAATTCCTTCTGCGACGTTACCAAGCATGTATAAGTATTTAGTATTGTATTATTACTGCTGGTGGTCGCAAATTTGAACATTTATTGTGAATACTGTATTGCTACAACAAAGAAGCACTTTGCGTTGATTTTGTACGTAAACACATTTTCTCTTATCGTGTCGTTTTTTTTTTTTTTTTTTTTTTTTTTTTTTTTTTTTTTTTTTTTTTTTTTTTTCGTTCCTGCCTTAACCCCTCACTTTAGACCCTACATTCCTATAAAAAATGCATGTTTTAGTACGCTCCACTACCCCTCCAAGTTTGTCCCATGATCTATGAAACACCCTGTATACACTTTTAGTACGGTCGATTGGAATAAAAAAGGGAAAGGCACGCAGTCCCATGTACAAAATTTCAACCTTCTACGGCTATATATATATATGCAAAAAAGAGGAAAGTTCTAAAAAACTATTGCTTAAAAGTACATTTGCTACTGTAGTTTCAGAGCAAAAACGTTACACCATGTATAAACAATAATATCGAGTAAAAACGTAATGTAAAAATTACAAAACGAGACAAACTTCAAAAACAAAAAGGGAAGAGGAAAAAATTAATAAATTATAAATAAAAAAATATAAATTTTATATGACGACGCACGCAAATAATCAAACATCAAGTGCATCATTTAAAATTTAAAATTTTTTACTAACACCAAGTATAAACAATAATACAATACTAAAGCAGTTAAAGTTTACGCGAAAAAAACCTACTGTAATAACTACTAATTAATATAAAATACAAAAACAAAATTGGAAGTTAGAAAAGACTAAAAAAAAAAATTTTTAATCTAAATAATGTCATAATTTGTTCGCAGTCGTATATATATACGAACTAGGAATTTTCTTTTTAACTTATATAACTTTATATATATATATGTATGTATATGTGTGTGTGTGTATTTCTGTATTATATATATATATATATAAAATTAATTAACTGTTCCTAATATTTAACTAACTGCTCGAAATAAAACGTTTACATATATATACTTTTGGTATTGCCGATTGCTATAAAACAGCGAAGGGCTCGGCTAAATGTTACAGCAGTCCCATACACAAAATTTCAATGTTCTATGGTTAATCGTTTTTGAGTTACGTGAGATATGTATTTCACAAAAAAATTCCATTTTGAATCCATTTTTCAATCCGTTTGGGAACAAAAAGCTGTTTTTTTTCGTCCGTGCCTACAGATATCAAGTAAAAAAGTACTGGAAATGGATTCAGAAAAGATCAAAATAGATATTTCCGCGAAATCTGAAACCTCAAATTTTTTGCGATTACAATGCAAATGTGTAGACATAATAATAAAAACAGCTATAATTTATGCACATGCAAAATGCATAATGAAGTAAAACCAATACAAGGAAACTGTAAATGTGTCAATATTAAAGTAAAAACCAAAATAATGCAAAAATAAACCAAAAACATTCGCAAATCTACCTTCATTTTCTAAATCAAAATTAGAAGCATTGTGAAAAAGAAAATAAACAGAACCAATTGACAACAAAATTACATGTACGTCCCATTGGAGAGAAACATTTGTTCCATTACAACATCAATAGTTACCACTTCATTTATGAAAACGCATTTTTAGCCAAATGGAGCATTAGCCCAGAAGAGCTAATAATCTTGAAACGGCATTTTACATTGAATCACTTAAATGCTATTTATCACTTTTCATATTGTTGCCACCAAATATTATCGACCTGTATGACATTTAAAGAAACTAAATAATGAAGAATCTGCATGAATGTATGTATGTTTCTCGCACTGTGAAAAAACAAGGGTACCTCGAGTAACCAAATTTTAAATGCAGACAACATAACCATGATTAGCTGTGGAAGACTTGTTAACTTTGCCTTTTCGAACATAAGCTTCCTTTTCCTTGATGCGAAATTTTAACGCTGTTTCAGACTGGCCGGCATTTGGCCGATTCGATTTTCGTTACTATTTTTGCCAGACAGATACAACCATGGCTTTCCTTTCTTTGCAGATTTCTTTGCTTCTGCTGAAGAGAGACTTGTCTTGTTTGTCCTCGAAATCGATACAGTCTTGACTTAACTCTAAGCCAAACACAAGTGTGTTACTTTGCCTAATTTTTTGTGTTACACTGGCGCGTTTCACTTCTGTCTTAATGCAGGAAAAATTTTGTTAAATAGAATATCGGAACTGCCCTGTTTTTACTTTGCGAGAAACTGCCTGCTGTAATATTTTCAATAATCATTATTAGCTTATTATATGATCTCATAAATATCTCCCATGCATTAAAACCGAATAGGAACATACTGAAAAGACAGTTAAAAATATCTTAAAATTTCTTCAGATACTTTTTAAATGAGTAATTGTCACATATGTAATTGTATACTGAAGGTAAATATAATTACCATTAGGAAAAGTGTTACGCGAAAAATTTGGATTCGAATTCGAAGAAATATTCTCTCTTTTCACAGCAAGCTCACCTATTTCGGAAGGAAAAAAATAAATAAAAGAAAATCATTGGCATTATGTTATAAATAATTATATAAATCATAATTTAACAATAAAAATCTAGCAGAATTTTAACACGAAAAAAAAAAAAATCTATTCATTCCTATGTGCGAACGCAGAACCTAAATAGCAAACAAATCTTACTCTTCAAGGAATGAATAAAAAATAGCAACCTTTTTTTCTTTAGTTTGTAATCACGTGTAAATTTCTTATGGATAATTTTATGCTTGATTTTAAAGCTAATCCATAAGGTTAAAATTTATGCAAACTTTTTATAGAGGCTGATAGAACGCTGTAGAAATTTCTATTTATCCTTATAGGTAAATCATCTAAAGAAATGCTTCTGTATAAAATTCCATAGAATTTTCATTTTTCAAGCAAGTTGCTTTCCAAAATCGTGAGGAGAAGTTGTGAAACCTTTGTAGAATGGTATTCTACAGGAATGCGCAAAACCTTTAAACTGAAATCAAAACTAATTTTTAGTTTCTGATATATTATAAGAAATATGGAAGAGCAAAAATCAGCACCTTCTAAGTGTTAACAATTTTTGAATAGGAGTTTTTGCTCTTTTTCTTTACGCATGATGTTTTTTAGCTTCTGAATTAATGTAAAATTTTGTGCAGTTTTGTATACAGTATTTCTTGCATAATTCAAAAATTAAATCTTGTAAAACCATACAATCTATTTAAATCATTAAAAAAATATCTGAAGGTCAGATGATCTCCTTCGAACTAGCTATTTTAAATTTAAAAAACTTTTAAGTAAATAATCATTTCACTTCTATTTGATCATTTGTAAACAAAATTTAATTTGTTGCTCCAATAAATAGAAAGGTCTATAATGCAATATTATGGATTCTATTTTAGTACGAACACTTAGCCACGTGTAAAAACTTTTTCTAAATTTGCATCAACATAACGTTTTCCCTTTTATTTCTTTTCATTAAAAATTTTATTTTATTGGGCAAATAAATAACATATAATTTAATTAGTTTTTAATTAAATAAATTAATTCAGTGCTTATGTTATCGTATTATAAACACCAAATTAATTTCAGTGTCGAAATTATTTTAAATGCTTATAACATATTTCAAATAAATATTTTCGAACGAATACCGTAATTTAATTTTCTCCGATGTTATTTCTATAGTATCAACAAATCCAAATTTATTTTGATCTGCATTCATCTCTCCGCGATGTTTAGGTATTAGTAAACAATGCTAGTTCAACTGCAACAATACTTATCAGTTTATATATGTAACAATGTGTTAAGTGCTGCAAAACTGTTATGGGCTTCAAGTAAAGTACCACTTCCAGTTTTACACAAAATTCAATCCACTATTTATATGAACACAGAAAGCTTAAATAAAGAAATTACAAATTTTTAGCAATCTAGTTAAAGCGAAGTTATGTACCAGTTTTGATTAAATGTCCGTTGTTTAGGAATTTCAAATACAGAGACTGTTTACACAATTTTAGAACGATTTCGATAAAGAATTGAAGAAAAGCAGATGTTTTGGAATAAAAATTTCTAGCAACAACTTATTATTTGAAATAAGAAATATCGTACGCTGCCTTTTAAATATATTCTTCTTTTTAAATGTTGCGAAATGCATGGTATTAAATTTTCCAAGTACAAAATAAGCAACATTTTATTAATCGAAAGGAAAAAGCAGTCAATCACGACTTCTACATGGAAAGAAGACTCTAAAAAAAGGTGCGTACTGTTTCGAATATTTTTAAGGTAAATCGTTAGTAAGAAGAGAAAATCCACCGATGCAGAAGTCAATTTCACTCTTTAAATACATTTGCAGCAAAAATAAACAAAATAAAAAACTAAAATCTCAAAAGTTTCAGATTTTAAATTATGTCTAAAGGGGCGTTCTTTTAACATTTTGTGTGTTACCTTTATTTATTAAATATCATGTTCTTCGCCCCATAAAATTCAGTTCAAGAACAATATCGCAAAATAATTTTTCAATGAATATAGCGTTAGAATTTCCGATATATACAGACTCGCGCGCTGGAGATAAAAATGTTTTTTCTGTACAACGGTGCCATCACCCGCTTTGAAATCCGTGATTTTGTTAATCAAAAATTCTTTAAAGTTTTACAAAATATGAAATCGATAATAAAAATGAGCTTGCAAATGCCCATATTCGCAGGAGGATTACCTTATTCAAATTTGATGGTGGTAGTACCGTTGCTTTATCACAGTGCGAGAAACATACATACATTTATGCAAATTCTTCATTATTTAATTTCTTTAAATATAATACAGGGCAATAATATTTAGTGGCAATAATTTCAAAAGTGAAACAACGCTTGTAATGAATCAACGCAAAATGCCAAAACGAAATTAATAGCCCTTCTGAGCAAATTACCCCTTTGGACTAATAAAGCAAGATTTACAAACTGAAAAAGCTAAAATACATAATATTCACCAGCTTTTGCCGAGCATGTAGCTCAACACAGAACAACTTATAACCTGTATGAAAATTATTTAGCAGGCTATAAATGGAAATAAACTGTGACGTTCGACGATGCATAGGTTTACTTAAACGATATACACACAAAAAAAGGTCCGCTTATTATCGAAAAGGAAGAGAAAAAAGTACAAACCTGGTTTCGTAAATCCAAACAAAGTTTCAATAAAGGGTTTATGATTGTCGCAGCATTCTCTCACAAAGGGGAAATTGAAAATAAGGAGAGTAGAAAAAAGTGTTAAAATCAATTCAATATACTATCAAGAGAAAGTTTACGTCCAGTATTTACAGAAGAAATTCCGTTTCTTTATCCCAATAACTTTCAAAGAGTGAAACTCTATCAAGATAAAGTTAACTTCCAACAGGTCATACTTCGAAAAGCACCTCTGTATTGCTTGAGAAGATGAAGACTGACACAAGTATTACTCATATACCGTTTCAAAACATTCTTTACGAAGTTGCCTGACGTTTCTCATTTGGACTTTGATCTCTTGAAAAGAGCTCTTTCTAACGAAAACCCACCCACCACAATTGATTGACCCTGAAAAATAGTGAAAAGGAATGGGAATCATTATCCCTGGGAATTTGGTGAAAAGCTCTTCTATCCTGGAAATCAGTTTGCAGACTTTTACTCTAGAAATATGGCTATTAGATAGAACATTTAAACAATTTTTTTTCTGCATTTTAAACGTTAATTAAATGACTCCGAAATCGTTCTAAAAATGTGTAACTCTGTATTTTCTTATCATTCAATAGAGATAGCTTTTTAACCTGAGATTACGAAATTACTATAGCTTACTTATGTTAAAAGAAGTGTCGGATTCATTTTTCTGTAGTACGCAAAACAAATTTTGGCAAAAATCTGATGGGTCTCTTTCTGCTACACATCCAGAACCATTTTCCTTCCAAATCCTAGGGGCAAAATGGGTATTTATTCGTACTATTAAAACAAGACACAGTCATAAAATATGCTGAGTTGTAACTTATTTTCTTTTATAAATAAAAATTAGTATGGAAAATAAGAAATATTTATACTATTCCCACATGCAGAATGTATAATATTAGAAACACTTTTTAGTATTAAATACTTAAATACTGTGTTGTGTAATGATACAATACTTGTATAAAAAAGATTACTTACGTATATCATTAACCAGTGATCTCAAACTCAAACAGCATGCAATCCAAAATCACAGTTTTCAAACAGCGCACGAGCAAGATTTATTTATTTATTTATTTATTTATTTTTGGCTTTGAAAAATGATATATTTTTTAATCAACAGAATAAAAAATATTTTAACTAAATTTAAAATTTGGCCTACTAAATGTTTATCAAAATATCATCATCCGTGACGAGACAGCCCCCGGTGGGTGAAGGCCTTCTGAACTAGACGTTTCCAGTCACCTCTACTAACAGTCAAACTACTCCAATTCTTAGTTTTAAGAACTAAACAATCTTCCTCTATAGCAATCTAAGACCAGCAGGACAAGTTTTTCCCTTCTTTTAATTTAAAATCCAATAATATAAACGTCTTTATATGAAAATCATAAAATTAACTTCAGTATTCTTTTGTATTTCAATTTAAAATTTTAAAAAAATTAAATAGAAACATCTACTTTTTTTTTTTTTTTGGTAGTTTGTATAATAATATTACAGTATTTTAATTATTTTCACAAAAAACTTGCGAAGCTGATTTTGTTCACTTTACTTAGAAAGGAAACTCTTCCTTGCCCCATTTGGCGGGGCTTATATGCCTATACAGGCTTCACTTTCATTGTAAAGTGATAGCAGAGTCACCATTTCTACGCATTCAAAACAAAAAATAAATAATAATAATAGCACAAAAGGGGGGAGTCAAATTTACTTTTTTTTCTTCTGAAATCAAAAGTATGGTACCCGCAAGACTTGTTGGTTACACATTTTAACTCAAACATGACAGCTAAATATTAAATATTCAGATTGACAATTATTTCAATTAATACTAATGTGTTTAATTAATCATTAAATAATTTACTTAGTTTGGGGAAAAAATTTCTAAGTGGGATAAAACTTGAGAATTATAATGACAATAGTCTTTTTCTTTCATTATTAAATTTTCTTTCGATATATAAATAAAAATACGTATTGTTGCGTGCGTACGGGTGCGTTATGAAATGAATGCACAAGTCCGATGAAAAATGAACAAAAATTTATTATTATCACAACAAAAATGCTTAAATTTTCTCAAATTATCATGCAGTATTACAATATCTCACAGTAGTTATCTTTTAACTACTCAAATGTCCAATAGAACGTAATTCAAAACAGCTAAAGAACGTTAATCCGCGAATTCGCTACAATCAACAACAGCAGTTTTCTAAACAACAACAAAGTAAGCAACTACTACAAACTGAGATGTTTTCCTCCTTTTATAAGATTTTAAAATCACGCGCTAGAATTTTCCAGTACTTTCTCGAAATCAAAAAGAGATATTTATTTATTTAATGCACGCGCTCTTGTATTTTCAATTTTCCGGCTTAGCTTTCTTTTAATATTCGTCACGCGCTGCACTGCGCGAGAAATAAAACCATTTAATTTGTAATTGAACTAACATTAGCTTTTTAAATACCAAATTCGTAACAGTATGTTTGTATGTAAATTATTACAAACTTCTTTATGTCTTACTAGAGCTTCATACTTGATGATATTTTGCTTCTGATAAAGATTGTTGAATCGGAGAAAAATTACTAGAACCTATCTTCTTCACAGGTTATAGATGCTTATCCATCAATCAGGTTCTTTTCTTATTAATTTTTAAGTGTAAAAAAGAACTGTTCACATATAAATGTATTCCAGAACAAAGTGATTCTTCTTAGTGCAAAATTTCGTAACTAAGAGCAAATTTTTTTAACAATTATCAATAACAGTGAATAAAATCTGTCTCTACAGATCTTAGAAATAAGATTTATACCACAGTGTAAATTAATTAGCTTCATTGGGGAGTTTCTGGTACTTTATTAATATTCAGTTTTAATGATAATGAAACTAACGTAAACTCGGACGTTACTAAAATCTTGAAATCTCTGCCCCACCGTATTTGCAACAAATGCATAATTGAAATATACTGGCCGGGCTGCATAAAATTGCTTCGAAGACAGCACACCACGGCCTTTCAGACCACCGTTATAAATCATTCAACTGCCCCTTACGAAAGGTTTCATAGAGGCTGACAGATTTCTATAGAAACTCATATAGAAATTTATAGATGAACCTCTATAGAAAGCTATCTAGATGAAATTTTACAGAAAATTATAAATATTACATAGAAAAGAATTCTATAGTAAATATTGCATTACAAAAATTATACAGAAATCTTATAAAGAATGGTATTGTATAAAAATCTTCAAAATTCTCAAGCTGTAATCAAGGTAAAATTGCAGTTTCTAATGTATTTTCTCATGCGAAAATAGGTTATAGAATTCTATAAGAAGGATTCAGTATTAAACTTCTTTAGAGTCCCTAAAATTACAGCTATATTTTATATCAATCATGTCAGAGATGTTCTATACAATCCTAAAAATTTTAGGTATAGCTTTTATAGAATTTACGCATAGAGATTCTGTGGAGATATTCTACAGAGATTTATGCAGATAAACTATAAAACCTATTTATAGAATTTCTAAACATCTTGCTTAAAGAATCTTATATAATGTATATAGAAGCAACTTTTCTACTGTTTTCAGGAATACGAAAATGTATTATAGAATTCTATAAAATGTGTGCAGTGTTAAACTTGTTTAGAGTTTTCCAGTTTTGTATAAATTAAGTCAGAGATCTTCCGCAGAATTCTAAAAATTTTAGGTATAACTTCTGTGGAATTATATATAGAGTTCTGTATAGATATGTGCAGGTATTTTATAAAGATTTTTGTATACATTCTATAAAAACTTGTACAGAATTTCTAAGTTTCCCACCTAAAACAATCTTCAATAATGTCTACAGAAGTAACATTATAGAATATTCTACCTTACGAAAATGTTTTATAGAATTATATAAAAAGTATTATCTTCTCCAGAGTTCTTTAAAAGAATGCCGAATTTTGAATAAATTAGGTCAGAGATCTTCTTCAGAATTCTAAAAATTTCAGGGATAGCTTCTATGGAATTATGTATAGAGATTCTGTAGATATTCCACAGAGATTTGCTTAGACGTCCTATAAAAAATTATACAGAATTTCTAAAGTAAAGAATCTTGTAATGTGTATAAAATCAACTAACAGAATTTTGTTAAACATATAACATCCAGAAAATTCACGTTCTAAGTTCTAAATAAGGTTTGCTTTAATTTTTACACAAGATCTTATATAAGCTTGTGATATATAAAAGCATAATAAAATCCAAAATTTTCTTTTGGGATTTAAAAAATGAATAAAATTTTCATTTCTGAATGCGACTTTTTAATCTGAATTTCGAAATGACATATGTTACGAAAGGATAAAGAATAAAAACTTCCAGAAAAAAAAATTGATTTTTTCCTAATAAAATTTTCTAATATTGTTTTGTATTTAAAAAATATTAGAAAAAAGTTAATTACATATTATATGATAGTTAAGTTTAATTAAAATTTAAAAAACTTTTTTTTTATCAGGGATAGATAAACAATAATTAAAAGCACTCTTTTTAGGAACTGAAATTTTATAATTATCAGTATAAATTTAATCATTTACCTAAATTTATTTTACGCATTTACAAGATTTGATTTTTATATTGTAGAGACACTAGGTTATTTCGAAGCAGGAGAGATGAAAAAAAATGTGCAATGCCCTCGTCGGAACTCGAACCTCTCGATTCGCGCCGAGTATGCTGACCATTACACCACGAAGGCATGCTAAGAAGGCGGGAGAAATACCTTATAACAGCGGTTCTCAACCTTTTGAATAACGCGTACCATCTAAACAAAAATTGAAAACCTTTAATACCACCACTACAAAGTACTACTATCACCACCACTCTTGAATAAAGCTCAGATCGCAAAAATTTATTAGTGTTAAAGAAAATCTCAATCAGGAAGTTGGGGTTTTACTTTTTGAATTTAATAATTAAAAATACTTTGATTCTTTGCGTACTACCACCTATTTTTCTCTTGCGTACCACCAGTGGTACGCGTACCATCGGTTGAGAACCCTTACCTTATAATATTACATATATTACATTATGCAATGCTGTATAAAAAATTACACCAAGTTTTACATAAATGTAGGAGCTAAAAAAACGTTGAAATGGAAAGAAAACGCAAAACTTTTCATTCAAAAATTATTCAAAATTTACGAATAGAAAGTATTCATCTTTGTTTTTTATATTTCTTATATTTTTATATCCCCTCAGAAACTGAAAACTTGTTTTGATTATAATTCTAAAATATTAGGATTGTTGTAGAATATGAGTCTTAGGAATCTTGTAGAATATTAGTCTTTTGAGTCTTAGGATTTAAGGTTTCTATAAGATTTTTTACAGAAAATTAAAAAAACGAAACTTGTTTCGAATTGTTAAGAATTTTTAAAAAATGTGTATAAATTTTAACTTATGGAATCTTTTTTTAAATTCAATCTTCAATTGACTTGATCTGATATTTTCAGCAGAATTCTACTAGTTGATTCCGAAAAAGATTGTATGACATTACATAAGATTCAATATTTGGAACCATTTGAAATTCTGTGGAATGTCTGCACAAATCTCTCGGTAATATCTGCATATGTCTCTACAGAATCTTTAACATGGTTCTATAGAAGCTGTGTCTAAATGTTTGCAAAAGTTTGTAGGTCTGTGACTTAGTTTATCGAAAACAGAATCATAATTCTAAAGGATTCTAAAGAAGTTTAACACTAGATTTTTTATATAATTATATAAGACGTTTTCCTAAGGATTATCTATTTTAAATTACATCAACAGATGTGTTAAAATAAAAGCATAAAAGACTTTTTATTAATTTCAATAGAGCCGCAAATGTTGATGCAATTTATTAGTTGCACAAATTGCAAGTTGTATCAACTAAAAATATTATAAATTGTATCAGTTAAAAATGATATAAGTTATATCATTCAGACATACTGTTAAACATAAAATCGAAATGTAAATTATAAAAAGTATAACCACAACTTTTAATCATTCATTTGGAAGCAACTATATTTGTAATTTGAAAAATAAATCAAGAAACTCGTGCCATGCTAATGACAACACTGCGAAACACTGGCTCACTGACAGGCCATGTGGAAATTAAAGTTCTCGTGTCTTTACTAAAAGCATCGTTTCAAAACCACGATTATACATAGTATAGTAGCAATATGATAAATAATATGGAAGTAATGTAATACAAGATAACGGTGCCGTAAATGGAAAAGATTCCGCTTTATGCGTTTCTAATTTCGAAATAAAATACAAATATAAAGAAATGAGCATATCACTTTTAAATCACTCAGTGGCTAGTAATGCACTGCTTTTATTTGAAAGATGAGTTACAGATTTTACGTATGGCAACACATCCAAGTGCTGACAATATGAAAATCTCCCTAGATAATAAATGAAAAATCGTATGCCTTCAACACATGCCAGGTCTCATGGATAATAAATGTTACAATAGCCTAAAGTAAGTGACCAAAAAAATAGAAATACAAAACTGTCGTCGTTTCTAACTTCAAAAGTTTTTGTTGCATACTTTTAATATATAAATCATTCGGGTGTAGGATAAAAACTGGAAATTGATATCCCCTTTTTCTTTATTTCATGCGTACTGTGAGTTCATCAATGATCGAATAAATAAGACCACTAGATGTAACTTGTCTTTGCACTTAACTAACGGTAACGTAAAACTCTCTCGCCGGCAAAAGCCGTATATATACGGCCTAGAATATTTTTGTGATATCTATAAGATACGTGCATCTTAAATTATGTCCAAAACCTTAAGCCAATATATTAAAAGTGCATAAATCCAGATATAAAATAGCAGTGACCTTTTGATATTAAAATCAACAGAGTAATTATTGCTCATGATAGTTCTGGGAAACTTATGCTTTTATGAACAATGGAAAAATACTGCTAAAATACTTCAGAAAAGTATTACGGCAAAATATTAGAAAGCAATATTTCGCTGAAGAAAAGTATTTATTTCTCGGGAATTGGCTCTTAATCTTGTTTCTCATAAAGCAGTAATGAAAATGAGAGGCCACTAAACCATTCAGTTGTCAAGAAGCGAAGCTAGAAGGAACTGGAAAAAAGTATTTGAAATGGATGACAGGCGACTGAAATCTGCATATGGGCGAAACGTTAATAAAATGAGATGTAACGGTGACTAAGTAGCCATCCTGAAAGTTCAGGCGTTTCTGCCAACATTATGTCAGTCTGTGAATCCCATGCTTAAAAAATTGCGACTTCAAGGATTTCTCCACAGGTGATAGGCATAGCTGAGATTTATAAAACTCCGACTAGAATGAACTTTGGCCAATTGGCGCAAAAGATCTGTTAAGGACAAGCCTGTTAAATATCGGGCTGAGGAAGATTTTCGCAACCATAGTCTTGCAAAGTTAGTTTAAATTTCTCTTTCAAACACACGGGAACAAGAGTTGTCATGTATCGCAAGAGTACCATGTCTGTTCACGAATCCTGGCTTCAGGAGAAATCCTTTAGGAGAAATTGTTGCTTCATTTCGTGCAATTAGGCCCAATAACTAGGCGAATTCAATTTAGCTTTTATTTAGTCTGAAGCATATATGGTAAATGATACCAGTTACATACCACCACACAAATAACAAGTGAATACTGAGGCTAAAGAGATGATTTCAGCATCATCGTCGGCATCCCTTCATTCAGAAAATCTGCGACTACGAGTATTATCGTACCAAAGCCACTTTTCTTCGTTGGTAATAACTCGATTCAAAATTCCCTCTCTATTATTCTTAACTCCACCAGTGGTCGAGTGATTAAAACGGATGGATACTCGTAATTTCACCTACTCTGGGTTCAAACCCAGCCGAATGGTTGGTTGCACGGTTGATTTTGGCGGTTTCTCTTATGTGTAGCTTGAATATCAGCCAGTTTCTCTCATAAAATTCCCCACGAAGCTATCCTTCCTCTTAGGTAGATAGCTTTCATGGCTTTGCATGTCCAAATAACCTAACCTAGCTTAATCTTATTATTCTCAGTATTAGGGAGATTCTCACCCTTCTTCGAGGTGTTTTGTCCTTGAAAATGAGATCATGAGACACCAGTGTCTATGTCTTGACTGTCACAACCAAATACCGAAGCAGTGTGAAATAGTAGGCATTTAGAATCTCGGCTATTATACGGGTACTTCTTTCGTAGTCAGCTTCTACGTTCTATCTGAAATAATAGGAGTCGATGTCTGTGTAGTAACATCACCCATCTACCGATTCGAGAAACCACAGATGAATACTGAGTTCACTAACGACATATGATCCAAATAGTCCTTTAATATTTTCTGCTGAGAACATCCAGAATGACATAATTTGAGCTCATAAGGAAAAGACATTTACAGATGAGCAGATTTCTAATTTCACTTTGATTGCTGTTTGCAACACAACCCGCCCTACCAGTACAATGGTTAGTGTCACTGACTGCCGGACCGATAGGCCCAAGTTCGAATCCCGGAAAAGGCATGGATGTTTGTAAGCGCATAGTGTCTGTGTAACAAGAGGCACTCAAAATGGGTGATACGGGAAGTGGGATGCAGTTTTGGATCACTCCCCAGAGTGACTTTACTCAAAATTGGGGCGAAACTGCCCAATTAGTGTGGCAAGACTGTATCTCTAGGATCAGTGGTGAAATTGTGGTGTCCCGTCAACTTTTATCTGTACATGTTTGTAACACAACAATATAATTAACCAGCCAAATAAATAATTGCATACGAGTCCTTTACCTACCAAGCAGTTTTACCTGTATTTATTTACAACGCAACACTGTAATTTTCAGCCAAATAAAAAGAAAGCTGCATATGAGCCCAGTATCTACCAAGCGCGTAATATCATCCATGTAACGTCAATTAGTTATTTTCTATATCTTTTCAATAGTTGTTTCAGGTTTTATTTGAAACAAGCCATTTCAAATGCACCAACATCCAAAGCAATATCAATATTCATCTTTAGATTAGGCGCTGATGATATGACAGCCTTCCGAATTAATACACAGTATTAAATTCGAAGAGCCAGGGTAGTGATTTAACAAAAACACTGAATAACAAAAGAATAAGAAGAACAAGCTTCAACTTGTTCATGCTTGATCTTTGGAAGAACTAAAAGATACTTACTGATCAATCTGTATTGGGATAACTTTCGGAACTTTGGGTGGTCCACAGATGCAGTTGATTGTCAAAGGCTCACATTCCTTCGAATTCTGCTTCAAGAAACGAATATCGGCTGACGCAATCAAAAACATCGGCCACCAAAAAAGCAGAAAGCTATAGCCCACTGAAATGAAAGTAAAACAGGAAAAAAAATCCATTTGTTATTAGGAGCGGGTAGCATAAAACGCTAGAAACGATTGCTGTTAATAAAAATTATGCTGCAAATGATCATAAATTTGTTATTTAGATTAATTATAAATTAAATGTATTTAAAATTATATTAATCAGACAAATTATTGAAATAAAATCAAAGTCAAGGTAATCACCAAAGGCTCTGGTTATCAGATAACCTACGGGTTGCAGGGGGTTACTTAAAATACTAACAAAACGAAACTCATCTTTAGAGATGTGAGATCCTTGGATTCGTTCATCAAAACGAGACGGAGCTGAAAAACGTCGTTTTGTCACCTTTAAAGTGTCCAAGGCCTAAGCCAATAACAGGTGCAAACCTAACATCGTAGCCGCAATAAAAGTCGTTCGTTGGTTGAGGTTTAGGATTAGAAGGATTAGAAACAATAACAACTGAGTAAAAAAGAAAAATCGGTTAAAGGCATTTTTAATCAAATGACAATATTTTTAAAATTGGACAGGTAGGGTATAATCAGGTAGGGTATAATTCGAGATATATTTGTTTCGTACCGAGGGCAATACTTAGTCAAACTAAATGGAACAACGCCTAGTTTATTTTTTTTACTTAGTTATGGCAAAGCACTCGCGAGCAATTTGATTTAGGAAAGATACGCCTTCGTAGAGGACTTTCCACTAATAACTAGCTCGTATATACGTTATACTCTGGAAAAATCACAAAAATGCCCATGCAACTAGCCCATTCACCGGCATTCGAGCTGGAGCAGAAGTACCAGTGTTTAGCGACTTTACCGAGCGGCCGCTGGTGAGCCTATTAAATTATGGAATGGAATGGCAATATTATTAAAATTAATTGTAGAAAGTTTTGGAAATACTACGCCAACGTCGTTTTTAGCATTCAAATTAAAGACATAGGTGATTGACTAGGTCGATTTTCACTAATGATTGATTGTAACCGATATATTGCAGTAACCGAGATGGAGCAATAACGGAAAAGTTTGTAGGGTTTATATTTATTTTAACTAACATTTATTTTAAGCTATCTTTCCTGTCAAGCCTTTACTTTCCCCTAGAATGGCCAATGCCAGAGTATGTAAATTGTAGTAGAACGCGCAGTCTATTCAAATTTTAGCAGAAGTAAGTTGAGTTTAAATAGAAGGGTGTTGGTGTTGGTGTGTTGAGTTATGGCAAAGCACACGAGGGCTATCTGCCTAAGGCAAGGGATGCCTTCGTGGAGGACTTTCTAAGGGAAACTGGCTCGTATACACGTTACACATGAGGCAAACCACGAAAACACCCAGCAGCCAGCCCGTTCGCGGGATTCGAACCTCGGACCGAACTACCAGTGTTCAGCGACTTTACCGCTCGGCCGCTGGTGAGCCTTAAATAGAAGGGAAACGAGATTGTATGTGTGCTTCTTGAATCGCGAGCATGAAGGTTGCTAGGTAGAAATTTAAGAACCGCGCGTTTCGGCCTGTGTGCCTATTTCGGCAGTTCGTTGAATCTTCAACTGCTTAATCAGTAAGCTTGCTGAATCTCAGCTGTATCTTAGAACGCGGTTAAGTTAGTTACGATTTTAGAGCCTCGTAGGTAGTGATCTCGTTATTTATTCATCCTGTCATTTATTTTTAGTTTCACATTTCTGTTTTTTTAAACCGCCGGGTCGGCGTAGTTTGTGAGCGTCAAGTGAACGCAGCTGTTATTTCTAAAGTGGAATAAAAAGGGATTTAAACCCTTCTTACGAGTTTGTGTAATTTACAGTTCATAGCAGTCACTACTACTGTTGCTGACAAGTTGGGGCCTCGCAACACTATAAGTTTAAATAGATATTAAACTAAAATTAAATGGAAAGATTCCGGTGCTTGTCAAGATTTAAATTTTGATCGATACCCACTACAGTGTTGTGTAACATTTGAATAATTTCATAAATTATTAAAAAAATTGTGTGAAAAACATTTATGACCAATGCCATTTGTCACTCTAGTCTCTGTGTTGATAGTCACTGATGCGGAGCAGTACACTATTTGATGCAATAATTAAGCTCGCAGATAATAAATGTGTAGTAGCGTAACCTAAAATAAAGAAGCATTCGGAATCTTGGAAAGATTTTGTTGAAAACCTTTCTGCTTGAAAAAATAAAATTTAATTTGGTTTTGGTTCAGCGTTACTTGGTCTGGTCTAATTTGGTCTTGGCTAAGCGTTACTCAAGCAGATATAGATGTACAATATTAGAAAAATTTACTATAAAAGCTCGATTAGTGTACAGTAAATTTATAGTGTTTCAACCTGCGTACTTCTTCACTAGATTGTCAAACAAATCGCTATGTCTATGAAATCTGTAAGTATTGCTGGCAGCTGTATCGTTCGCAGGATTCGGGTTCGAATCCCGGAGAAGGCATGGATATTTGTAAGTGTATATTGCGGGTACGACATGGAGGCGAGCCAAAAGTCCTCGGGTACAAGTAGTTTAGTGGTAGGGGGTAGGGGTGGTAGAACCCTCGGATCCTTCCCTGAGGTGTTGGGTATTTTCCCATGAAAATTGGGGTGAAGCTGATCAAAGTCGTACAGTCAACCATATGGTGTTCAAGTCATGACAACGGCAGATGCAATCTTGCGCTCCTTGCCATAATAAAACTCGTGAATTTATTCCTATTAGATCAGACAAGCGAGATTAGCCACAACAAATAAACTTTCTTATTAGATTTTAAACTTAACATTAGGCACAACGAGTGCGTACAACTAAACTCCGCCACTTGCGTGTATTAAAGTATACGAATTTAAATGGATTCATAACATGATACTACAACATATGGTCTAACCAAGAGTGGCCTAAACTTAAATGGTGCAATTTAACATACAGGTTAGCAAAAAGGCTAATGCCAGAATATTAACTTAGTAGAACTGGGTAGCAAGAAGTAAAGCTGAAAGCGTCGCTACCAAAATTTCCCTCTCTCTAAAACATTCAAAATCCTAGTCATAATTGTTTTCATTCATTTGCATCCGGGTGAGGGCTAACGAAAGGAAAAGTAATAGTACAGATCAAAATCGGAAAAATAGGTTAATTATCACAAAATACAGTTTATAAACTGAACATAAAGTATTATTAACTGAATAATGTAATTTCATGTAATAAGGCAGTGTGTATTGGCAAATATTTATTTATCTGGTTTACCAGACTTATATTTACACAAAAGTATTATAGTCTTTTGCTGCGGTTAGAATTTTGTCATCGATTTTTAACATATTTCCTAAAAAGTTAAGGAGTTTAAATTTTGTACACGATGCAATGATCGATGGCAATGCAGTGTGTTGAAAAGAATTTTTCAAACTCGATTTAAATTTTTTTATCTAATATTTAAATGATATTTCATAAATATCTCCGTTTAACGATCAAACTAAACCAATCAGAAATTTACTATTTGCGTCATTGAATACAACGATAACAAATCTTTTCAATGAAACTTGTATGAAAATTTTAGTTAGATTTTTTCTTTTGGGGGGGGCGAATTTTTGAAAATCTCCGGATTTTTTAGACTATTTGACGCTTATGATTTTAAAATTTCAATATCGGAAATTATATCGGATATAAAGTTTTGAAATTTTCAATAATTATAAACTAAACTCTTCATTCTCTTTAAAACATGAATCATAAAAGAAATATTAATTGAGCGATTTTCTGGTACATTTTTTTAAAAAAATGTGGGGCATATGGAGAAAAAAAGTGTTTCTCGCAAAAAAATTGCTTCTGAGTTTGTCATCTTGGCTCACTTAATGACGATTTCCCAATATTCTTTTTTTTTTTTTTAATAAATTTTTTCTTATTGATAACGCTAAAACTAGTATTTATTGATAACAATTGAAACTAAAAACAGAATATAAAATGCAATTAAAAATTGTTTTATACAATGAGCATTTATATTAAATGAATATGGTAACTAATGCATTAAAAGGGGAAAAATTATTTATTACGTAGTTTAAAGGGAATAATGGATTAAATGCTGTTGAGAGAAATTATTTACAACTTTACATCACGAATAATAAATGTGTGAATCACTAACAGTAAATTTTTAAAAAATTAATGCCTTAAGCATTTAGCAATGCAATTAAATAAATAGATTTCGTTATTTAGTTGCTCTACGCTTTTATTATTCGCGATATAAAATTTTAGATGAATTTTCTAAATAGAAGGATTATTATTCCCATTAAACTGCATAACGAATTATTTTACTCGTTTTTCTACGTGAATTATCATATCTATTTTAAATAAAAGCTTTCCATACGAAATCAGTTTTCTAAATTCTATTTGATTTGGACTCATAGATAGAATTAAATATAAATTTAGATTTTCGGTAAATTCTCATTATGCATGATTCAAAATTTACTTTCGCAGATAATATTAAAATTTCATATTCATCTTTAATAAGAAGAAATATTCTTGAACACATCTTATTCTATAAGAGGAATCTGAATGAAGTGATAGAAATTTAGACTAAAGCAAATACATTAATATAAAATTCTATTTTATGACTTCATATAAAATTATGAATACTTAATTTGATAATAACTATTAGTAATAACTCTATAGTAATATCTATTGGATAGAGATAATATTTATTATTTCATCGGCTTCATATAAAATTATGAACACAAAAATTCAAGTTTAAGGCAGAAGAGTTTTCAAAAATTACTTATTATGCAAAACAAAAAATTCACTTTTACAGAAAATACTAAAATTCCTTACGCATCTTCAAGAACAAATAGCACCTGTATGTTGTTTTCCCAAAAGTTAATAAACAAACTCCAATGGAGCTATGCAGACAATAGTGTCAAAGCGGATGCTGCACGTAGATTGGAAGCTTGATCTGTTTCTACACCTTTTATATGAGCTCTGAATGACGACACGACGTTACGTCACTTAACTGTCTTTTCTATTACTAGCCTAACTGAAAAGGTATGTATAAAAGAGGATTAAGATCGGGAAATTAATGTTCATATAAAAAGTTATCCTGTTTAAATAAGATAATAGTCATCAGACGTATGATTTTTTGCATCCTGAAATTATTTGTCAACAGTTATAGAAAATACTGATTTTTTTATTTTATATGATTCAGTTTCTTCAATTAAATTTTAATAAATTCGAATTTTTAAGTTTATTATCATCAAAAAATTCAACAAATCTTTTTTCTTGATGCAGTATATGAATTTTATTCTATTCGAATTTCATTCTATTCACTCCATTTCTTTTCATATTGTATAAAACTGAAAAAGGCTAAATAAAGTAACATGCGGACTTAAAAATATCTAGAAGACATATTTTATATATTAAACTAGTATTTTATTTACATATATTTATAGTTTACATATTTTAAAACTTCGAAAAAAGCCAGGATTAGAACTCAGGGGGCACCCTGCTTCGCACGATCACAATTATTCTACTACTTATGTACTGAAGTAGGCAAACGTTTTCGTTCTTTTTTTTTTTTTTTTTTTTTTTTTCTTAAGTGTGAAATTCGGATAATTCGATCTTCACGATGTAAGCTGAATGAAATTGCGATTTTAACTGTATGATCTGATAGGCGTCCCCTCAATTAACTATTGATCAAATTGAAACACATCTGAAATAAAGTACTAGCATGGTTACATCTTCCCTTTTTAACCTATTCTTCTGAAATATATATCCAAGGAAACTAACATTACCCTTCTGTATTTAATGGATAATCAAATTGATGAAACATCTGAATATTAGAAATTCTGAGCAAATAAAATGGTATGACACGATGGAAAAATTTTAATGTTTTAAGTAAAATTAGACGAAATGAAGGCAATCACGTTTGTCCACAGCTATTTCTAATCAATAATAATATTAAATGATGAGAAAAAATACCCTTTAAATAGAAATGATATTCCACCAGTTTGCTATAAATATAAACACATGGGGCCCACCAGCGGCCGAGCGGTAAAGTCGCTGAACACTGGTAGTTCGGTCCGAGGTTCGAATCCCGTGAACGGGCTGGCTGCATGGGCGTTTTCGTGGTTTTCCCCATGTGTAACGTGTATACGAGCCAGTTTCCCTTAGAAAGTCCTCCACGAAAGGCATCCCTTCCTTTAGGCAGATAGCCCTTGAGGCTTTGCCATAATCACACACACACACACATAAAAGCTTATTTTCCCAGCATTTAAACAAGAAAAATGCATAAGTTTGTTTACAAACTGTTCATAACATTTCCGGAAATTATTTTACTCATGCTGCACTCGTAATCTTATTACTTGGAGAACAACCTTCATTAGAAGAGAACTTGACAAAGTAAAATTTAAACAAGGCCAAAAAGAGGGGGGGGGGACTTTAGCTTGTCGTAGCTATTTCAGAGAATTTACTCTTCAGAGGAAAGAGAAAAATTCTTCAGATTTTTTTTTTTTTTTTTTTTTTTTCTCTTGAAGAAGAGAAATCAGTGTCTGACTGCCCTCAAAACAGATAGAGTTATTAAAAATCTGCGTTAAAACTAAGTTTGCTATTTTGCTTTATTTTAAATGATTGCCTAAAATTGAAACCAACTTGTTTGGCGACTTACTCGCTTTCTTGGCGCCATTTTTCTGTCACTTAGTAATTTTTACTAATTTATTTTGTACTTATTTGGCGATTTTAATTGAGTTTTAAAAAATTTACTCTATAGCATTTTGATCATATTAACCGAACTGTTGATCGCAATAAGAGATGTATTTCAGACTTTTTTTGTTTACAAATGGACGCGACTTCGGTTTGATAACAATATCCGAATAATAATAGCAATCGCGATCACATTAAGCGTCATCTACTGAAGCTCATGTTGAAAGGATTATCGTATTCCCCCTTGCCACCTCTTGTCATGTGTTTCTGCAATGTGAGGAACATACATACAGATTCTTTATTATATAGTTATGGAAGAGATAAACAAACTTATTGGTAACTTGCAACACCAGACTCTGTTACTTTACAACAGGAACATCAAGATTATTTTCCACAGCCCTATTAGAGCACTACTAGTATTAGATAAAAGGTTAATACAAAGATGCAAATAGAAGTGAATACACTGAGTAAAAGTAAAAATAATCAACGGAATAAAAGTTACTAATAAACTAGCACTGAGAGGGAAACTATGTACAGTACAGGAAGGGGAAAATTATGCGCATATTTTCAAAATTTTCGGAACCTACCACTCTATGACCCGCCTCCGTGAGCTCAGGTTTTTAATTCTTCGATATTAGTAAATTGTAATGTGATTGAAAATATGTTGTTATGTTCTAGTTAAGGTTTTTATGCCTTTAATTAATCTGCGTACAATAGTTGTAGAATTATCAAAATATTAAAAGTTTAGGTGGTGCTAAGCCTAACGAGGCTTAGCATCTGAAACTCTCAGCAGAATAATGAATTAAGTCAGTTTATGAAACAACCTCATTGTCTTTTTTGTCTAGCTCAGTTTACGCCTATCTTTTCGATTACTAGTGCGACCAAAAGTTAACTTTCAGTTTGGTGTGCTGAAAAATTTGTCTTCCTGCCTACTGGCCGACTTGCTTGTTTTTGCCTATAAACCTTAATTTCAATTACAATCTTTTTAACTGTATTTGGTGTTTTAGGTTCTTCTGTATTTTACAATTTTTAATGAAGATGTTTTGAGTTTTTATGTAGTTTTGTCTTGCCCCGAAGTGAAAACTGAATTAATTGAATGAGAAATATATCTCTAATGAAATTCGAGGAAATAAGTTTAAATGAAATTTAGCAAAGAATGTGTATAATTTAATAAACCGTTAATAAACCGTCATGTGGTGTCCACATCAGACGTTGTAAATATTTCAAACCAAATGAGTTATATTTTTAGTGAAGTTACTAATTGTGTAAATTGTCTTTTTTGTATGTAAGCAAATACTGCTTATTAGTTATGACAGTCTCATCCTGGTATAAGTTCTAAATGACTTTTTTTAAATTATTTTCTTGAATATAAAAATTATGCGTTAATGATAGGTATATTTAAAATGTATGATTTGTTATTGGAATACTTTAAAAAAATTGCTTTAGCGATAAGATTTATGCAAATTTTTAAAACTCTGCCCGAATTCATAGACAAAGAAAACGATATATAAATATAAAAAATTAATTATAAAACGCATGCATGTTTAAAAGTAAAAATAAATATATAAGAAAATACTCAACTATATTTTCAACGCAAAAACTAGAACTGATTTATTAACAATTTCAATTCCAGTTTGTCATTAACCTCAGCTTTTAAGTAAATTACTTCCTAATTGTTTTCATCAAAAGATGAAAACAATTAGGAAGTAATTTATTGCCTGAGCGCAGGCTTCTCTTTCGTTCTTTGAACTTCAGCAGTTGAAGCAGACGAATCTATATTTAATCCTTCGAAATTATCCCTGCAAATTTATGAATCTTAGTCTGGCTCTTCTTGCTTTAACCTCCAATAATCCCTATTTTAACTCAAGACTCAATATATTTGTTTTATTATTATTATTATTATTATTATTTAAAAAACTCAGCGATTTAAAAGAATAGGTGCATATGTTTGAGTGGAGGACTAAATGTATTCAAAATTTAGTTATGATTTTCCAAGTACATACATGCAGATTATTCATCATTTCATAAGAGAAATAATTGCAGAGCATAAAGTGTCAGCGAGACGTTTATAATAATTGAATATTATGGTAGCAAATTTTTTGTCAAACTTTTGCCTTACTACTATGAACTGCTCATTTGAAATACACGATTTGCTGAGCTGGTCAACACAACTGTTATCAAAGCCAGCTGCTTATCTATGGACCCTGATGAATGCACGGGATACTTATAAATTTATAATGTCTTTGTGGCATGAAGGCTTTTACAATCATTCGAGCCAATAGTCTCTTAAGTAAGTTGTTGGTAGAGTATATACTTTTAACTTTTTTGTTGGGGGTTAAGGAGTTAAGCGCAGAGGTCATCTTAATAAATAATATGTAGCTGCTTTACGCCTGTTTCAGTAATCGTAAATTCATTCTTGTAAATAAAAATAAAAAATTATCGCATATTTTGTAATTACTAACTTCCATTATTTCCTTTATATTATACAGTAAATACAAAGATTGAAAAAGTAAAGAATACAGTAAATTTTATACGGAAATGTCTACATTTATTTTGATCAAAATTTACTTGAAAAAACGATTAAGTTATGTTTATTTAACCTAATAAACACGATAACATCGTAGCTTAGTCACATTCAAAAAAAATATTTCAGTTTGCATTTTTGGTCAAACGATTTCAGTTTTAATTTTTTATGTCAACAGATTTTCACCAGATAAATGATAGTTCGCTTTCCCGTTTCCTGAAATCCCTGAACTATTCTTCCATACCCTTTTGACTTTGAATTCGCGCATGTAGCAATGACACATTTCTCGGAACTGAACATTTTTATTCTTAGCAATGAGAATTCTGAGAGATTTATCTAAACTCATGGCCCAAATAATATTGTAAAAGAGAGAGCCCCACAGTCAGCTCACCGATTTACTCAGAATGAGAGAGCATTTATACGTTTTCTTTCCTAAGAATTTAGTATTAACTGCAGCAATATGTTTTTAACAAATATTAAGATAAAAGAGAAGTGGGAAAGAAGTGCGAGGGAAGATATGATTAATATACGGATGTGTTTTTTTACACGTTAAACCTTCGTTGACCTTAGATGTACTGGCTTCATATCTTTACACTGAATTAATATTGCACTTATTATTTATAGTCGGATATATGAGTTCAGTGAGATACATTTAAATTTTTACCACCAGTGATGCTGTTCGTTTCGAAACGAACATTCTGTACGTATCACCTTTGCGTCCGAA